CACCTTAAGGATAATTTGTAAGCTGAATAATGGAACTAAACTTAATTTTTTTCAGTCATATTAATTCAAGAGTTTGGAAAATTAACACTCGTATATTATCTTCCTGAAGGAAAAACGTAAAATTACACACGCATTTAGTGTGTTTATTTAATAACAATAGCAGAGGATAACAGTATTTTATTTACAATAAATTATTAAATATACTTCTAAATATCATTCTGAAAGGAAATTATATGTTTATGCCATACATAAAGCATATTTTTAAAAAGACATGGAGAGATGTTGTTTATTAAAACAATTTAGGTAAACTGTGTTGTCAGTAGCTCTCAAGTCCATAAACTTAGACAAACAATATACCCTTGATCATATATAAAGATGAAATGCAATGGCACTATTAAAAATAAGTTATCTAATATAAACTGAACTATTTATGCATTTTATATACTTGTAAGTCCTTTCAAATATTTTAATTCCATACTTTTGCACATAAATAACCTAAGTGTGTTGGGAAAACACGGATATTCATAGCACCAAACCTTCTGGTTCCAACCCCACTCTTCTCAACATTCACACACACACACACACACACACACACACACACACACACACACATGGTGTGAGGAAAACCAGTATAACCTTGTACACACACACACACACACACACACACACACACACACACACACACACGGTGTGAGGAAAACCAGTATAACCTTGTATGTTTAGGTAAATTTTTTTGTTTTCATAGCTTTCAAAGTATTTATTTATCATAGGTTACTATGCTGATAGTACTCATGAAACCAAACATCTTTTGCTGTTAACTCTGATTTAATTATTTGGGGAATAAAATTAGTTTTTTTGATCTTTTTACTTAAAAAATCCTCTTTTGAGTTCTTTTTGGTTCTTTTAGTTATTTGCTGGTACTATTGTTTTGTCCTGGAGACCGACATTTGGCTATAATTGAAAACATATTGGCATCAATTGTTAGCACAGAAACGTTAGTTAAAATCAGGTCTTGGTGGATTTGTGTTTAATAGAAAGAAGGCAAAGCTACTGGTATAGAATTAGTTCCTTTTTGAAAAAAAGAGGGAAACAAACACAAAAACCTCAATGCAGTGTACAAATAATATTTTGTTCAACTACCTCTGAAAGTGGAATTAGTGTTTAATAATTTCATTACAGTAATGTTAAATAGTAACTGCCAAATTTATTTTCCCATCTCTTAAAAAGTCTTTATGATTATTTTATATAGTTTTAAGATCTTTAAAGCTACTTTTTAAACTTTGAATTAGCATAAAAAATGTGTAGCTTTTAAGTGGAAAGCAAACTATGATCATATATTTTGATATTCATGACCTGTTTGACTATAGCAGTCTTTTTTTGTTGTTGTTGTTAAATGCACTTTGGCAGTAAAAACCATGGATAATTTGATCCGTAAGATTTTAATGTGCCATCAGTTTAGTATTATTTCTAGACAGGAGCTTGATGAATGATAATCTGTAATTACCGTGTCTTAATTGCCCTTTGCCTGAATTTTAACTATCAATTTGTTACTGTTGCAGATGTAAATGTTGTGCATAAACTTATAAAAGCTAAGTAAAAATGTATAAAATAGAATTGGGAATCACTAAGATTTTTCTGTGTAGAAGTAATGAACTTATTGTAAAATGAACCAGTTGTGTGTATGACATTCTATCTTTCCTTGAACTGGATCATATATTCATAGCTCTGTATATACTCTTGCATGAATATTTTCTCATTTAGTTTTGCCTTCATAATTTGTATTGTGTTTATTACTTGTGATCATGTAGTTGTGCCTTATTTTGTGAGTTTGGCTCAGTAAATACTGTAATTTCTAACCTCAGTGTTTAGAAGGCTGTTGATTATATATATAACTGATGAATTAATTACCAGACAGCATTTAAATCTGTGTAAAAAATGGAAGGATCCTTATTGAATTGTTTTTATAATATGTTAAAGATGATATTAAAAACACTTCTTTGTAGTAGATGTTATTCTATGACTATAAATTATTTTGTCTATTTAAAAAGAGAGAGAAAACTGGGTTCCAGTGGCTCATGTCTATAATTCTAGCTTCTCAGGAGATTGAGATCTGAGAATCATGGTTTGAAGCTAGCCCTGGGAAAGAAAGACCATGAGACTCTTATCTCCATTTAACCACCAAAAAGCCACAAATGGAGCTGTAGCTCAAGTGGTAGACCACTAGCCTTGAGCAAAAGAGTCAGCAATAGCAAGAGGCCCAGGAATGGCACAAAAAAATTTTGACAACGGACGGGGTGCGGGGAAAGGGCTGAGGAGAAGAGAAAATATTAACCATTTTGTACTAATTAATTTACAGAATATAGACTTTGCACCTAGATTTAGAGAGTAGTTGTGTTTTAATTGTTAAGATAGCAATTAACTTCCTGATCTAAAAAAAGAAGTTGTTTTTTAGGGCTTTGCTCTGTGGCTCAAATTGGCCTTAAACTTGTGATCTTCCTGACTCAGATTCCAAAGTACTGAGATCACTGGCATATTCCCCATCAGGACTCGTTAAAGAGAAATTATTTGTAACAATTTGCTCAGGACAGCTCCTTTTCACTAAATATTGTGGGGGAATTAACAAAACTAAAAATGACAAAATATAAAATTAATCCCAGATGGACCATTTAAAGATACTTTTTTGTTGTTATCTTTGAGACACAGCCTTTTTAAATATTCCAGGCTGCCTGGAACTTGATAGGTATCTCAGGCAGCCTTCAACTCTTGATCCTCTGTCCTTCCCTTGCAAGTGCTAGGGTTACATGCATGTGTGCCACCATATAAAGATACATTGGGAGGAGGAAGATTTTAACTCAGAGCTTTAATGGCAAGCACTTAAGCTATGCCACCAGTTTTGTTGTTTAGTTTATTTTTCAGATAGGATCTCTTGATTTTATTTATTTATTTATTTTTGGGTCTGGTTGAGGGGCTTACACTCTGGGCCTGGGCACTGTCCCTCAGCTCTTCAACTCAAGGCTAGCACTCTACCACTTGAGCCACAGCGCCACTTCTGGCTATTTTCTTTTTTGCTTATGTGGTGCTGAGGAATCGAACCCAGGGCCTCATGCATGCAAGGCAAGCGCTCTACCACTGAGCCACCTTCCCAGCCCATCTCTTGACTTTTTTGCCAAGGGCTCACCTTACACTGCCATCTTCCTACTTCCACCTCCCTACTAGCTAGAATTAGAGGCATCTACCACTGCACCTTGCTTAACAGTACTTTTTTTCAAGGCTCAATATGCAATTGATTTTGCCGTGTGTGTGTGTGTGTGTGTGTGTGTGTGTGTGTGTGTGTGTGTTCAAGGCTCAATATGCAATTGATTTTGCCGTGTGTGTGTGTGTGTGTGTGTGTGTGTGTGTGTGTGTGTGTGTGTGCATTCCAGTGCTGCTTCTGGCTTTCTGGTGGTTTATTGGAGATCAAAGTCTCATGGACTTTCCTGCCTGTGCTGGCTTTGAACCATGATCCTCACATCTTAGTCTCCTAAGTAGCTAGGATTACAGGCGTGAGCCACCAGTACCTGGCTGCTTACCAGACTTCCCCCCAACCCGCATTTTATTCTAAAGTACTTCTCTCTAAAGAGTTTAATGTGTGTACATCCTCATGCATGTAGTATTATATCAGGTGTTATTTTGTGAGACAAAATTCAAGATTTTATATGTGGCATGTTCTTGAACTATTTTATATCTTTTATGTTAATTTAGTCTTTCCTTTTAATGAACTTCAAAGAAAAGTTCTCTATAGAGAGAGAATGTGTATGTGTCATGTATCTCTATGATATATATTGTGTGTATGTGTGTATGTATGTGTGTATCATCTAGCCCTAATTCCATTTTCTTTCTACTTTATAGATAAAAATCCTTAAAATATGATTCTTTTTCATAAAAGTAATTATTTTAGCCAGTTATTTCTTCATAAATCTTACCTTACACAAATCTCTTGCCTTCTCTTGGACATATTTTCCTTCAATCACATGTAGATACCTTCCCTAAGAACTTCTTGAAGACTGCTCTCCTCTGCCTTTTTCCCTCTTCTCTTAAAAATAGTTTCTGCTTTCCAGATTTTCCTTGTATTTTCTCGCTTATAGTAAATGTCTGACCTGACTTTAAAGAGACCTGACTTTCCTAATAGCACCTGGCCCTTGCACAACAGCCTTTCAGTATTTCCGTGTGCTTGTTGGTGATATTTATGAACTTCTCAAAGAATTACATCCACCCAACTCCCTCAAATGTATCATCTCTACTTACCCTGTTTCTTAATGAAACAACAACAGCTAATGGTTCTTGCAAATTTGGTTTACAGCCAGATTTGATAAGTTTGTTTCTTGTCCTTTGAGAATTACAAAAGGCACCGTACTGAAATTGAAGTTTATGGGCTCCTATTTGATATGTCTTAATGATTCTTTATGTGCTATTAATAGTAAATAGTATCACTGAGGGTATAGATCAGCAATAGAATACTTGTTCCTGGGTTCAATCCCTAATTCTCTCTTTCTCTCTCTCTCTCTCTCTCTCTCTCTCTCTCACACACACACACACACACACACACACACACACACATACACACGTGTACCACATTAAGTAAATATTAAGTTTACCATGTTAAGTGAGCTCTGCACCCACACACATATACACACACACACCCCTCAAACCCAATATGCATATTTTTATAAATATTATCATTTGAAAAATGAAGTTAAGGGCTATGGGGCATAGCTCAAGCTGTTGAATGATTGCCTAGAAAGCACAAGACCCTGAGTTCAAAACCCAGTACTATACAAAAAATACTCAATTTCTTTAATCATCTCCCATGTAAAAGTGTTAAGCAGCAAATATGGATCAAATATTAGTTTTTCTTTCTTCATGTAATTTAGTCTTTGAGGTTTTCTACTTTGAAGTTAGAATATTACAACTATATTGCATATAAAAACATTGCTGGAGAATAAGAACTTAAAATCTATTAGAATATAGACCTTACTTATTGTTTAACATATTAAAAGGGCAGTCAAACGTACATCAAAATTATCATTGTGTTTGAGGTAGGACTGTAAAGCAGTCAGATTGATTTATAAGCAGTAAGAAAATTATTTTAATTATTTTATAGATATATTGAGTAAGATGTTAGAATTTATATTGGACAGACACAGTGGGCATTGTCTTCTTTCTGATGCTCCATTTATCTCATCATTCATCCTTTATAAGTTATATTAGCACCATTCTTCTTGTGTCTTTTACAGATCCAACTGAAACATTGAGAATAGTCTGGATATCAATGTGTATTTAACAACAAGTTCCCTAGAGTTCAAATTTGGATTTTCTGGCTGAAATTCTCAAATTCTAGAATACCTTCCAAATGCATATTTCCTTCCAGTTCATCACAAGGTAAGTGTTAGGAAAGTTCATGTGAAAGAATACCTTAAGTCCTAACCTCTAAAAAATCATACCACTTAGTTTAGGTGCCTAAATTTCAGAGGATTCTGCAGATAATGTGAATAAAGATTTTTTCTTGGTTTTCTGACTCTTGGTGAAGCCAGAGATGGCTGTTGCTATTTGGGTTATCCATGTTTTCTGTTGAAAAAAGAAGAAAAATCCGTATATAAATGCAAATTAGAATTTTGAATTGATTTTTTTTACATATTTGGGTTACTATTTTCCATGATACTTTATTGACTTGGTTATTAAATTGGAGACTAACAAAAAATTTGCATATGTTTTCCTTTTTCTTATAACGAATATAAATACCCCAATCATCCAGAGAAATGCAAATGGATTAAATGAATATGCTGCACAAGTTGGTTAAACAGTCCTAGTCAATCAAGGTCCTCAGTAGTTTCCTAATGAGAGCTCAAAAAATTTGAATTCGGTCATAATATTCAATGAATATCCTATGAAATTAAGAAAATTGAGGGGAGGGATTGGGTAAGGAAGGACAGGGAGAATGCTGTTGGTCAAAATGCATTGTATTCATAAACTGATTTATTGAATGGTAACTTGTACAACTACTTAAAGATAAAAATATAATTAAAGATTCACTATAAAAAATCCACTTTCAAACTATATTCTCACAACTTATTTTTCTAATTTAGAATTAAATAATTTGGAAGTTGAATTTTTGAGTTCACAGTAAGAAACAAAGTTTTTAGTCAGTGATGTAATTTGAAAAGCACACTGAGGGAGGTGACTCAGGAAACTGAGTTGTTAAGAATAATACAGGAGGGTTTGTTAACACATGCTTATAATCCTACCCCTTAGGACCCTGAGGCAGAAAGATAGCAAGTTCAAGACTGGCCTACAATACATAGAAAGACCCTATCTCAAAACATAAAGTAAAACCAAGAACAATAATGCAGTATTGCTGATAATGCAATTAATAATTGCCTTTTTGTCTAGCTATATTGTTGCTATGATTGAAGACTACCAGAGGAAAGACAAAAATAGAAACTTCTGAGATAGAGAAACAGGGTTAGGCAGCTGCTTTTCTCCATAATTGTAAAAATAATGACATCTTTTCAAAGACTGAAGAGCCGATTTGACCTGGCTCATTATTGCATTGCACTTTTCTTGAAGCTGTTAACATTCTGGAAATTGTGGCACCTTAAAGTTAATTATGAAATCCAAAGCAATTTCTCCTTTTTTTCCTATAGAAACTGCAGAGAGGTAGCACTTGACTTTCTGAAGCAGGAAACAAATGAGAGGCTGTGTAAAGTCAGCAAGTTTAAGGAAGTTTTCAATAACCAGCTTTGTAGCAGGAAATGGGCTAGATGTCTCTTTCCCTTCCTCTCCTCTTTCAGAAGCTGCTTAGAAAGTATGCAAAACTTTGTAGTTGGCAACTACTTAGGAGGGTTGGAATCTCTTAGGAGCCTAGAGAATCTCTGAAGAACTAAATACCTACAAAATTAAGATACATACTTTGATATGTTCCGTTTGGGCTTGTAATAAGAATGCTGCTATACACTGTTGATATCTGTTTTCATGTTGTATAAGAAAAGCATGTCTCAGGCCAAAGACTAGAAAAACAATATTACAGAGACAGAAAGTCAGATCACTTTATATGAAATCCAAACATTTTTCTAGAATAAAAACCTAGGGTTTGTCTTTCATTTTATTTTTTCTTTTTGTTTTAATGAAGGTAAGAGTTTTATGTAGATACCAAGAAAAAGTTCAGATTCAAAAGCTAAGATTCCAGTACTGTGTTGAAACAGCTCATTTAGTGTGAAAAGCCTGTCTTCCTTAGCTAATGATGTCAGTGGAGGGAGAAAATGCACCTGAAGCTTAGGTTGGGAATAGTAGACTTCTCACACAATGAGAATCCATACAGAGTGGGTTCTGTGTATGTCTGTTAAAATGTAGATAATGAAAATGTAGAAAAATGATAGAATTATTTGCTATTGGTAATCACCTCTTTCTAATTGTTTGCTATTATATTTAAATAGCAGTTATATCACAAGTGTTATAATAAATTTAAGATGTGGTTAAAGTATAAAATCACCTGAAATCTTCACAGCAGTCCAAGAAAAGTTTAAAAAAATGGATTCAAATAACATCTATTGAGTGTGAAACAAAGCAAAACAAAAAGAAACACATAGTTTTTTTGTCTGCCAAAGAAATAATCTGTTTGGTTATTTTCTATCTGGTCTCAAAGAAATGGCAGAATATACTAGAAGAGCAGATTCCTTCTTTTTTTTTTGGGGGGGGGGTGTCAAGTCGTGGGGCCTGAATTCTGGGCCTGGGCGCTGTCCCTCAGCTCTTCAGCTCAAGTCTAGCACTCTACCACTTGAGCTGCAGCGCCACTTCCGGCTTTTTTCTTTTTGCTTATGTGTTGCTTGAGGAATTGAACCCAGGGCCTCATGCATGCAAGGCAAACGCTCTACCACTGAGCCATCTTCCCAGCCCTGATTGCTTCTTTAAAAAAATAAAAAACAAAAAACATAGAGATCTGTAAATGGAAGCCTGTTCCTTGAATTATTAGTCAAACACAAGGAACAAAATTCTGTGGCTTTCTGTTTGCTAATGTTTAGAAACAAATCAGGGCTGTCTCCTGGTTGTAGCAAAACCGTTAGGCCTCTTGCCTAAGGCAGCAAAGGATTATTTCTCCTACTTCACTGTCATTGTTATTGGTGAAATTTGTGAATTTGATTAACCAGGTTTGCATCATGTCAAGTGAATGCAAGACTTTTGTTTGCCTAATTGTATGAATGATTCAAGTATGATAGATTACTCTCACTCATCTAAACCTTACTTGCCCTAAATTCTATTACAGCAAAGTCTGCTAGAGTTGGGTCATAAAATCCTGTCTTGTTTGTCTAGGATGAAACCTACTTAAATGACTTTCTGGAAAAATTATTTTACTATGTTTCTTTTACTCCCTGATTTTTTCCCTCCTTATACATTTCCTACAGTAAACGAGGCTTCAGAGATCCTGTTGTTGTTCTTGGTTACTATTTGGAATGTATTATCCTCAAAAATTTAAAACTGAAATTCCAGTCAGAATGCATCATTAGGATTATAATATAGGTATAAGGCCTTGTTATGGCTGGGCCTGCAAAGTACAGCAAGGAAGAGAATAGTCATAATACAATAAGAATGGCTGGGAAAAGCTCTTCCCCCTCACCCCTGATTTTCTACTATAATAACATTGTTTTTATACATTTTTCTGTGTACTGGCCCTATGCTATGAATTTCCATAAGTCCACTAGTTCCCACTTGCAAATGAGGAACTAGGAACTAGAAGTGCATAGTTTAAAAGGATGTGTTTGTGTCTCTCATACCCAGTCTTTCTTTGTCCCCTTTTACTCTTGTTCACTCTATAGCTCCTCTGCCTCATACTTTATATTTGAACTGTCAAAATTCAGATCAGAGGAACAATAAAGACACTTTAAAAAAAAACACACATGTAAATTACAAATTAGAAGTGATAAAAGTATAGTGTTTTGGAAAGCTATGTGTGCATTGCATTTAGAGAAGGAGCTGAGGAGAAAAACTCAAAGTAATTCAGTAATTCAGTAATAGCAGATTTTACCAAAAGTATAGCTCTTACTGGAACTAAACTGGCCCGTTATCTAGGCTGCTTCATCTTTCCTGCTGGGAGTGAAGAGTCTTCCTCAATTCAGGAAGCTAGACTCTTAATGACTTCTGTACACCACATAGGAATACAGTCTTGTCTTTTATGAAGACTTATGGTTCATGTCCTGTTACCAAAAATGCCAACATAAAACTGTGATGACAAACAGAGGAGCTGAATGATGGGAGAGGCACATACCTGATACATGAAGTGGATCAATGCCCTTGATTACTAGTCTATCTAGTGGAATGGGCTGATCGAGTACCATGCATGAACCACCCTCTTTTATAACAGTTTGCAGCTCTGGAGTAAGTGAAGGGCATATCAAACCAAAGTCTGTGCCCCCAAGTTTCTGAAATTAAAGAGGAAACAGTATAAGGTATAAGAAGCAAATATTGATTCATTCTTAAGCAAACATTCTTAGAAGTAAGCCTGCTGACATCAGGCTTACTGTGCTTTCTAGATCTCAAAAATAATTGTTCTCAAAGCATGGTGATTTAAAGTAAGGTGCTTCTGATCTCCATGTTTAATTACCTAAATACATGATGATTGGCATCTATAATTGGGTTAAATTATCCTTTTTTGGTTGTGCTGGGGTTTGAATTCAAGTCCTTGGGTTTATTGGGCAGATACTCTACTACTGAGCTATACGTCCAACCCTTTTTTCTTTTTGGCTGTCTGGGACAACACTTGAACCACCTATTTTAAGCTTCTTGTCTTATCTGGGACAACAGTGATACACAAATTCTTCCTGTTGAGATGAAGTCTCACAGACTTTTTTGTCTGAACTGGTCTGTAATTGGGATCTTCCAATCTCAGTCTCCCACATAACTAGCATGGCATGTGTGTGTCACTGTACTTAGTTATAGGATGAGAAAATATCCCATGTATATACTCTGGTTGACCTCAGGACACTATCCTCATGGTTTTAGCCATCCTTGTAGCTAAGACAACAGACATGAGCCACCAGTGTCCAACTATGGTAACTATTTTAATCATATCACTGGGAAGATTTTCATTTTCAATATTTTAATACCTAGTGTTAAATTTAGAGAATGAGGGCTGGGATGGTGGCTCAGTGATAGAGTGCTTGCCTTGCATGCATGAGGCCCTGTGTTCTATTCCTCAGCACTACATAGGCAGAAAAAGCCGGAAGTGGTGCTGTGGCTCAAGTGGTAGAGGGCTAGCTTTGAGCTGAAGAGTTGAGGACAGTGCCCTGGCCCCAGAGTTCAGGCCCCACAACCAACAAAAAAAAAAAAAAAAGGAGAATGATAAAGGGAGCTTCATATTGGTCAACTCCATGTGTGGGTTCTAATGTAAAACTGCAAGTAGATTCTATGTTCTAGAATCTGTAATGGCATTTGTGTGCTGTGCATTGAACACAGCAGCAAAAGGAAATGTAAACACATAATATTCCTTATTTTGAAGTCAAATTATGAAACATGAAGCCAGAAGTTACCTTACAAGATGATAAATCCTGTGCTATGATTTGTGCAACTCTAAAATGAAAATAGTCTATACAGGCATCAAGGTTTCTGAAGGAATAAAAACTTTCTGAAGTTGGCTTCTAGAGGCATGTTAGTCTAAATATCTTAAAATAGGAGGTTATAAAAATTCTGAAATAATGACTTTCCAGTATTTTCCAACACCTACTTCCTTCTCAATCACCTAGCTATGTATAGTTTGATTAATGAGGATCTATTTTATTGCTCAAAGGTTCTTAAATTATTTAGCTCAACTAAGCAACAAGTTCTCTAGAGGCATAGTTTATTAAAAGACATGAAATACCTAGACTTACGATATTATCTGTGTAAGACTAGACCTTTGGTGAAGGAATGAGTAGAAGAAACAATACCAGATATCTGATGCTTTTAATATACATTGTAGTTCTACCTCTGAGCTAGGTATCTGTGAACCTTAGAGGAGTTGCCCTTCTTGATACTACTTTCATCCACCATTCAGGGAGCAGACTGTGAAATTGGAAATTTGACAGAAAGCTTTTTGTGGACCAGCACACCCAACAGCTTCAGGGGTAATAAAAATGAAGACAGTAGGCACGAGGCATGGTTCACCATTATTACTACCAACTATAATAGGCCAGACATGGTGGTTACTGCTTATAATACCAGCTACTGAGAAATCAGATTGGTAGGATCAGAGTTTGAAAACAGCCAAGGCCAAAAGTTAATGAGACCCACATTTCTGTCAACAGTGGGAAATGGTGGTATATACCTGTGATAGTAGGAGAATAGTGATCTGAGGCTGGATGCAGACAAAAATTTGAGATTCAAAAATGTGAGACTCCCTTTAAAAAAAACCTAAAAGCAAGAAGACCTTAAGGCCTGGTTTAACTGGTAGAGCACTTGCTTAGCAAGTGTTAGGCTTTGAGTTCAATCTCTAGTACTGGAAAAAAAAAAAAAAAAAAAAGACAACCCACAACAGTAATAATGGTAATGAAGAGTTCCTATTCTCTTCAGAGATTTGTGATTGTAGCCCCTAGTTAACTCATTTTATCTGTGATGCCAGCTACATGCTTGTTCAGCTTCTGAAGTTCTTGTACAAGTAACACTGAAAGATCAAAGCTCTGTCTCTCCTCCAGCCCCCAGGTCATCATTTCTAAGGAAAGGTGAGAGTTTTCAAACCAGAGTGAGTGATGGATCCCACTTTTTTACACAGTACACACAGGCTGGAGCCTCACTGGACCCTGGCAGCTCCCCTTGTTGTGGCCAGCATGAGTTCCAGTGCCTACATATGTCAGGCAGTTAGCTTTAAAGAACACCTTGACCTAAAATCATACAATTACTTTGGCATACTTGAGAAATATGATTTGTTTATTCTCTTTTTTTAGAGTGTGTGATTGTGAGATTCAATTGGGTATAGAAGAACACTAGAGTTTTGACAGGAAAAAATATGCTTAAACTCATTTAGAAACATTAGAAATAGCATTTTACCTTTTTGTTACGCTTAGTTTTTGTAAGCAGGAGGAAATCATCAAAGAGAAACAGATAAACATCTAGGAATCTTGTACTTTCTGAGGAAAGATAGACAAAATAAAAATGTAGACTGGAAATGATAAGTAGTCTTTAAAAAAATAAGCAAAGAATCCCTTACAAAACAGAATGGTTTTGTGGCTCAGGGAGTTTCAGGAAGATGGGTCAGAAGGGCTGCCTGTTGTAGATGTAGAGTTGATTTTTTCCCAAAGCACAAACTTGATCACAGGCCCATCTTTCAATTTAAAAGATAATGTATTTGTGCTATATTCCTGGGTGGATTGAAGGTAACTTGAGTAGTATTTGTAATGGTTTCAACTAAGCCAAAGGCAAATCCATCAGTGAATTAAACCTGCAGAATTTTGGCCCCTTCACTCATCCCTGTTGATGACCTTTGAAAACAATGCATATTTAAAAAAGTCATGTTGTCGTTTTTATGCACTGAACTATGTCCTCCCCTGTTCCTATGTTTAACTTCTAACCCACATGTGCCTGTATTTGGATGAAAGAAGAAATTGTGGCAAATAATTATAGTTCAAATAAGTATATTGTAAGTAGGGAAGTTGTTGATATAATAGGATTAGTGTCTTCTTGAGAGGAGTTGTCAGTGATCCCTTTTTCTTCCTTTTTAGGACACTAGAAAGTCACCTGCAAGCCAGGGTGACAGACCTCAGTAAGAACTACCAGGACCAAATGGCCAGCACCTTAATTAGAGATATCCAGTCTTCTGTCTATGAGAGTGTCTGTTTGGAATACTCATCTGATGACATTTTGGGCAGTGCTAATTGACTAAAAGCCATTAAAATAGTTATTTCTTATGTTTCATATTGTTTCCATAAATGTTTAGATGTTTTGCATGAAGCATTGTGTTTACAAATTTTCTTGTGTCACTTTTAATAGTTATTTAAGGCAAATAGACTTTCCTACTTCTCTTTTTCTTTCTTTCTTTTGTTGTTATTGTCAGTTGTGGGGCTTGAACTCTGGGCCTGGGGGCTGTCCCTGAGCTCTTCAGCTCAAAGCAAGCACTCTACCACTTGAGCCACAGTGCCACTTCTGGTATTCTGGTGGTTAATTGGAGATAAGAGTCTCACAGACTTTCCTGCCTGGCTAGGTCTCAGCCTCCTGAGTAGCTAGGATTACAAGTGTGAGCCACCAGCGCCCACCTACTTTTCTAATTTTCTTAAAGAGGGGAGCAATAGGAGAGAAATCAATGTTACTGTAGTTTACTATTTAGTAAGTAGAAAAGGAAATGTATACATTTCAGTGATTTCAGAGGAAAAGATAGTTTGCTCTGAAGAGGTTGTGACAATTACTTAAAAAGCAAATGTAGGAAAATCCAATCATTTTTGTAGTCTGCCCTATTTGTATTTATTTATATTATTCTAGAAGTTATTCCTTTGTGATTTTATTCCTACAAGCTGTATGGCAAAAAATAAGTAAAAGGAAGTGGGAGGTTTGGCTATCTACAAGGTTAAAAATGGCTGAGTACCACAGGCACAGATTATTCTTACCTCCCCTGCTTCATCCTAGACTTCCTGCCTAGTCATTCTGGTTTCATTTCCTCTCTGCCATTTTTTTCACATTGCTTCTTAGTAATTCTTAAGTAAACATGTTTTTAGGCCTTACATCCCTTTCATGAACTCAGTGACTGGTGCTAGATGAGTAGCACAGTGGTAGAGGAAAGGCAAATCTTGAGTTTGACGTGCATCACCAATAAAATAAAAATAGAAATAAAGGAGTTTAGTGATTTTATTTTTTTGCCCACTTTTCCTGGCTGAGTCCTGCTGTTTGTTTTGGTGCTTCTAGAAGGCTCTCAGGTCAGTATGGTCTGGCTTGAGCCAAGACTCTGCTGTTTACCTGCATGATGATTTTGAGCATGATATAAAATGCCCCATAAGCTCAGATTCCATACATAAAACACACAGAGGTAAACATAACTTTTCTGTATATCTCATTAGATTCCCTTTGATCTAAAACACTGACCTATCTGCCTTTCTTGCTTCACAGTTGCCTGTGCTGTCTCTGAAATACAGCAGATAGTCAATAAACGTTAAGAGTAAGCAATTTGACTCCTGTGTATTCTTCTCACAGGATCTCTGCTATCAACAGCAGGCATCTCCTTTGGGCCTTATACACAGTTGTTAACAACAAGATTTTGTGTAGGAATGAATGAATGGGATGATTACAAAATGTATTCTGGCCAGGCCACATTCAGATTATACTATTATATCCATTCTTCTTTTAGGTGCTCTCTATTGGGCCATTTATTCCTTACAACAAAAAGAGGAGGTGGAAGAGGGAAGACCTCTGTGACAGGCAGAACAGGCAGTTAACTGCAGGAGTTTTCCCTCCTGTTCACTCTACCTGGAGCCTATTCTCCCAGGTGGCTTCAATCTCCTAGCCCCTTCTACTGTCTTCATTATCTGCCTTGTCTTTCATCAACCTCATCTTTCCTATTTCTCAAAGTTCACCCCAGACCCTTGTGTTGCATAAAGACTGTGCTGGCATTTCAGCCTAAAGACTAATCTGAACTTAAACTTTAGGTTTACAATTAGGATAGAGCCTCCCAACCAGAGAGAATGGAGTATACAGAGTATTTTGTGTTTCAGTGGCACCTGAAACATGTGTGCTATGTAATGAGTTCTCAGTAAACACTTGGAAATTTGATTGTTTATCTCTCTACAGGAGTAAAATGATGATAATGGTGATGATTGCTAGGTTTGACCCAGAGTTTACTGTATACCAGACTTTATGTAAGCTGTTTTGTTTTAACAATGATTTTATGAGCTACATACAGCAATCTTACTTTTCAGATAAAACATAGCTAGTTCCACTGTGAAGTCTTTGGTCAAGCTGGAGCTCTTATTCACAGCTTCCTTCATCCTGATGATTTCCTGGCCCTTCAACTAATAGCAGTTGAACAAGTTATAAATGAGCAAAGATGTTGGGATTTTATGAGAATCATTTATTTACCTGCAAGAGTTAATTTTCCTTCATAGAGAAGGTGTCTGTTGGTTGGTGACAAGATGTTTTCTGCCATGTGTTCTTTAAAAATGTGTTTCAAACACTTGCAAAACAAAGGAGAAAATAAGAGAGATATTACTGATAAAAAGAGCACATTCAAGGACCTGAGGGTATTAACTCATCTAGAAAGTGGGGACATTTAGGAATGCCCCTGGATGAACACTGGGTATGAAAAAGAGTAGGAAAACCTCTCAGAGAGACTGTCTCCAGAATAGTACAGTGATGTCATTCTCTCTCTCCACATAGAAATAATGCCATATAGACAAAGGCAAAACTACCCCTTGCTCATAAAACTAGAGTTGTTCCTCAAGTGGATAGCTGGGGACTAAGACAGTCCACTTAAATGTTAGCCTTCCAGAAAGGGACATAACTGATCCTTTTTGTACCTCTGGAATGAAAAATCTTTTATCTCTATCCCAGAGAGGAGGCCACACTATAATTTCCTGTAGATGTCTAAATTTTTGGAAATTGTCAAGCCACTTCACTTTTCCTTCAAGATCCCCTGAAAGACAAGATGTATGTGATATGTTTTTAAATGCACATAACATTACAGTATAAATTTTAACCAGCACATACAATATCATTTAGACATTCTGCCTTTCCCTGCAGTTTCCTTTAACTTATTTGCTGTTTAAATATCTTAGAAAACTCATGAATTTTAAAGCAACCTCTTGCAGAGAAAAGTAATACAAAGCTTTTGTAAATCTTTTTTTTTTTTTTTGACGGTCGTGGGGCTTGAACTCTGGTTCTGGGAGCTGTCTCAGCATTTCAGCTCAAGGCGAGCACTCTACCACCTGAGCCACAGCCACTTCCAGTTTTCTGGTGGTTAATTGGAGATAAGAGTCTCATGATCTTTCCTGTCTGGGCTGGCTTTGAACCATGATCTTACAGGCGTGAGCCACTGGCGCCTGGCATAAATTTTTTTTTATACCCCATACCACACAAGCTGTTAAGCAAAGGAAGAAAAAACAGGACTAATAAGGACAAGCATGGCTTTTGATTTTAAAAGCCTACATTCTGTTCATGATAAGAATGATTATTTCAGCCAGGCACTAGTTCTATCTACTCAGGAGGCTGAGATCTGAGTATCATGGTTCAAAGTCCCCTGGGCCAGGAAAGTCTATGAGACTCTTATCTCCAATTAAATCACAGAAAAAGCTGGAAGTGGAGCTGTGGTTCCAGTGGTGGAGTGCTGGCCTTGAGGAAAACAAGCTCAGGGACAGCACCCAGACCAGTTCAATTCTTGGAACTGGCAAAAAAAAAAAAGAATGATTATTTCTTTTTTAGTTGTGTACCAGGCTTATGTCTGTAATCTCAGCTATTCAGGAGGCTGCAATCTGAAGATCATAGTTTGAAGCCAGCACAGGCCGGAAGGTCTGAGACTTTTTGTTGTTTTTGTTGGTCATGGGGCTTGAATTCTGGGCCTATGTGCGGTCCCTCAGCTCTTCAGCTCAAGGCAAGCACTCTACCACTTGAGCCACAGCACCACTCCCAGTTTTCTGAGTGGTTTGTTGGAGATAAGAGTCTCACAGATTTTCCTGCCTGGTCTGGCTTTGAACCATGATCCTCAGATCTCAGCCTCCTCAGTAACTAGGATTATAGGCATGAGCCACCAGTGCCCAGCTTTTTGGACTTTTATTTCCAGTTAAGCACCAAAAAAGGCTGGAAATGGAGCTGTGGCTGAGGTGGTAGAGTGATAGCCTTGAGAAAAAAAAAATAGCTCAGGGACAGCACCTGAGCCTTGAGTTCAATCCCTAGTATCAGCACAAAAAAAAATCAAAAACAAAAAATGTTAGTTTTTTTTTGGTAAGACTGTTTGCCTTTTGAAGCTTCACATTAATTTTCCAGCACTTTTTAATAACATATTTTGCTTTATGGCATATATCCTAGATTCCTTATTTGAATTTCAAATATATATAGCTACAAAAATAATCTCAAAGGATTTGCTCAGATCTCATCCTAAATTTCAGTTCTAAAGATTGCATCTGGCATTATTTTAATATTGGCCCTGGATTCCAGTGATTTAAAAACAGAATGAATGGCAATTTCTGCAGCAGATAGGTTTCTCAGGATGTTTACTCTCATTTGCTTTGTGGGAATTCAGAATGGATGTTAAAAACAGTGCTTTCAATCAACTGGGAAATAAGACTTTTCCTGCCTGAACTCACTTCTGAAACCTTTCACAGCAGAGCTATGTCCCATGCAAATTTGATGTTAACTGTTCTCTTAAATTTGTCAGGATATGACTGGAACCCATTGTTTTGTGTGTTTAATTTATAATGTACTCACACTTGGATCTCATTTCCCTGAATCATGACCCCAGGTCAGTGTAATTACCTTCTAGGATGGAAGCCCAGATGTTCCCAGGAGCCACAGAACTCCCCAGCTTTGTAATTAAGATCACATTTCTTGGGGACTTACGAATAGACTTTTCCACCTTTTCCTTGATGGAGTAGATCATGATTTTCTCAGTGGAGTCTGTACTTCTTTTCCAGATGTTCTTTAGCAATAAGGGATATCGAGTCAGCCTGTGCAAAGGGGCCACCAGGAGTTCAGGCAGGTGAAGTCGCTTGCACTGTTCATTTTGCTCACACCACTGAGGAGGGGGAAAAGCAGACGTGTCAGAATATCATCTCCCCTGTGGAGATGTGAGCAAACCTGGAGATAAGAAGTTTTTAGAGACTTGATAGCATTCAACTCTGAGCTTGCTGAAGCAATTTGTAAGCAATAGACTAGCTTTTGAAAATTCCATATTACATAGCCTTTAGTAAGCCTTATATACTAGTGCAAAGTTTTCACTTGTTTTTCATTGCTCAAGTATGCCTTGCATAATGGTGCTAGCCACACTAGTAGCTTTATCAAAGTATTTCTTCTTTTCTTCACACAAGAATCTTTCCAAGTATGCTCTTCCCTATACCCTACATACCAACATTGAGTCATGAAAAAGAACATGGGACATGGTCACAGAGCTTCAGGAGTCAGGCTTATAAGGACCGTCTTCCTTTCTCTGGACCTTGGGTTTCTCTTCTGTGAAGTAGCAAGAGCACTTGATGATATCCAAGTTCTTGTGTAGCTCCACATGGCTGTGAGTAGAGTGGTAATAGGTAGAAAGAAGGGGAGGAGGAGAGGAGAGCTGTGGCTTCATTGGCTGATTTCCAGGCTGACTCAACAGCATTCCAGTGATACTTCCTGGTTCTCCTAGGTAGCTGGAGAGTTCCAGTAACTGACTTCCCAATAGCAACTAGGGATCCCTTCAAAACACCCAACTTGGGCCAGTTCTCCAAATTACTGTGCTAACAGGAATAGCTCTAACTTCCAGCACTCACTGGTAGTCAGGGTAAATGTAAGTATGGGTGTAGTCCAAATACCAACCCAACAAAGCATAATGGAGACAAAGATTCAAGCTAGGGATATCAGAGACTTTTAGTGTTCTGGTAAACCTCAGAAGGGAAAGAAAAACCCACCGACAATTATGAAGGTAAAGCTGTTTTTCTTTAATCTCCTTTTTTGGCCTTATTTTTGGGTGCATTAGGAAGATCAATACATCTATCAAGAAAGATTGGACATAAAAGAACCTTTCACTGATGAGTCTAGATCAACATGTTTTATAAAACAATCCATGTTGTTTAATGAAACAGCAAGAGGAGGGACACAATTAAAAATATTTTCCTAGCAAAAATATCTTGGTGAGATGCAGCATTGAGCTGGGCAGTGAATATACCTGGAACCTTGGGTAAATCTTGGGTAGTACGGGGGATAAACTCCAGACCTCATTCTTGCTAGGCAGGTGTTCTTACCACTTGAGCTATGCTGGCAGAGAAAATTTGGAAGAGTAATTGCTTCAAATTTCACCTGCCACAGGTAGATAGTAAGAATAACTATTTCACTGGGTTGTTGAGAAGTTTGAGCTACCTCATCTATGACCCATCTCAAACATTGAATCTTAGGGCTCTAGAGTCCTGAGCTATACAAAGACCTTGTATCGGTTCCAGCCTCTCCCTCTGCATCATTCTCTCCCTCTGCATCATTCTAATTGATTATAGAATAGCAGGAAAAACCTATTCCCATCAATGCACACCTAGATAATGTTTGTACATCCAAAAAACCCAATCCCAGCCAGGAACCAGGGGCTCACACCTATAATCCTAGCTACTCAGGAAGCTGAGATCTGAGGATCACCGTTCGAAGCCAGCCTGAGCAGAAAAATCCCCGTGAGACTCTTCTCTCCAATTAACCACTCAAAAACCGGAAGTGGTGCTGTGACTCAAGTAGCAGAGCACTAGCCTTGAGCATAAAAAGGGACAGTGCCCAGGCCTTCAATTCAAGCCCCACAACTGACCAAAAAAAAAAAAAAACAACCAAAAAAACAAACCCAAAATCCCACATGGTAGGTGAGTAAATTCTTTCTAGTCCATTGATAATCCAGTTTGAGCCAGCCTATAACCTGAGAGATGTAAATTTCTAAGAAAAGTATTTATAGCACAGCGCAGCAAAGCAAGAGAATGAATATCAGCTTCAGATAAGCCTGAATTAGAATCCTTCCTACTCTTCTATTTAACAGCAAGTTGCCTAAATTTTCCAAGTTCTTGGAATAATTCCACAGAGTTATTGTATAGCCAAAGATATCAGTAATGTCTGGCATAAAGCAAGCATAGTGCTTGGTCCATAGCAGGGGTTAAAAATCAGTCCTCATTAGTTTGTATATGGATATTTTTGTTCTTTAATTTGCGGTGGTGGAAGGTGGATTTCTTTTCAACTCCTCAAAAGTCTCTCCTGGCCCCTTAGTTTTGCCTCATGTCTAGTAATGCATTATACACTTTTTTTTTCTTTTTTTGCTGGTCCTGGGGCTTGAACTTAGGGCCTGGGTGCTGTCCCTGAGCTGCTTTTGCCCAAGGCTAGCACTCTACTACTTGAGCCACAGCTCCACTTCCATCTTTTTCTATGATTGAGATAAAAGTCTCACAGACTTTTTCTGCCCAGGCTGGCTTCAAACTGTGATCTTCAGATCTCACATTCCTGAGTAGCTAGGATTACAGGTGTGAGCTACTGGCACCAGACAACATAATACATTTTAAAATCATTTATTATTGTAACAACATTTCATCCTTTACCCCTTTTCCTGAATACCTCTGGATAATATAATTTCAAATGTTAACATAAAGTTAACAGATCCTTGGCAATAATGACCCGAGGAATGGGAAAGAGTGCTAATACAAAGAACACTGGATTAAAAAAAATTAAATCGAGTATTTTAGTTAATACACAAGAACATATTTAAAGGGTACCCTGTGATTTTCAATATATGTATTCATCATGTTTAGATCACATTAAATATCTAAGGATCTTAATATGCTTTCTTTGCCATTTTTGCAACCTATGACATCACAAATGTCACATAACCTCTCTGAGCCTCAGGAACATGTGGGAACAGCATAATCACATTTGTAAGTTGATTAAATCATCTTTAAGAGATGATCAAGGTAGTGCCTGGTAAAACACTCCATATTATACATGCATTATGTGTTACCATAACAACATTGCACCCTTATTGCCTTTCTCTAATATCCTTAGATGCTGTGCTTGTTTCATATATTAACATAAATGACACTTCTGTATCACAATTTGAAAATGGTGGCTAGATTTTGTCAAAGTCATCTTTCCCACAGTGTAAGAGGTATAACTTAGAGTCTCGGCCAAGAATCTAATCCCTTAGTTTTCAGAGAAAATATTTACAGAATGATTGTCCCATATGCTTGCTAATCAATCGAGGTTTCAGTTTTTGCTTTTGAAAGCAAAGAAAATATTGAAAGGTGGAAGTTACCCAAGATTGGGTTAAGCCTCTTCACTTCTCTTTTCTCATCCCTGCCAAACCTAGGCTTCCTGTCACATGTAGGCCATGGCAAAAACCTATGGACTCACAACTGAGTCATTGGGAGCCCAGGAAACCTTTCCTTCCAAGCCTTTGAGAAGATGTTCTGCCAGGAGTTCTTGCAGCTGTAGGGAAAAGCTGGTTTTCTGGAATGGGTTGGACCACTTTCCCTGGGTCATACAAAAAGACTCAGGCATAGTTCTGAAAAGATACAGTTCAGGCTAAAAAATGTCAGAGGAGGCAAAGGAGTTGGAGAAGACAAGGGAAATTGGTTCCCAGTTTGTTAGCAAATACTGAATGCCTCAGCAGAAATCCTTTGTTCTAATGTTTCTGAGCCCCAGAGCTGCCACACTGCACAGTTCTAAGAGCAACAATTACATTGGGCTCTGTGAGCTAACCTAGAAGGTGCTGTTTGTACAGAATGTAATGTAAATAGTGTTCCTAATTTTTGTGCAATAGGACTTTACTGGGACAAAATCCTACAAGGTACAAACGTCTAGTCACCAACAAAGTCTTTATTTTTATTCTACTTTCTCCTTACAACTGATGGATTTCTTTTGTTTGTTTTTGTTTTGTTTTGTTTTACAATGGAGAGGACTGAACTCGGCCTTGCACTTACTAGTCAAGTGCTCTTCCACTGAGGTAAATCCCCAACCCTACGGATGACTAGCTTCTATCACAAGCAAACCAATGCAGAAATAAAACATTCTAAAGCCCAAGACAAAATTTCAAGAAGGATATTAGATATAATTTTTTCATATGTACTATTTGAAATTACTTAGTGTGTAGAGAAAGATGTATTTATGAGAAAGGTAGAATTAATATTCTATATCATGTATTTTTTCTTCCCTTGGATCCAGTTTAATAATTCTTAGTTTCTGTTACAACCAAAGAGTGCCAGAAAACATGAAAGACAATTAACTTGTACTGTACTTTTAGATAAATGCTGAAGTCATCTCTCTGCTTCAGGCTCTCAAGATAAAACACAGCAGCAGAGTAATTCAAGCAGTAGGTCTGGTGGCTCTGACAGAGGCTTCCTCGGAAATACTGGAAGAAGAGGAAGAGAATCAGCAGACATTCATGTGGGCTCCACTATGATCTCAAGGGAGCTGTGGCTGTATAGTTTATAAACTGACTGGTAAGCTCTGCAGCATATATTCTAATAAAAAATATGCTGTTCCTATAATAAAATTAACACCCCAGAAAATGGTCTCCTTATCCTCTACACTAAAGGAAAATTCTATTTAAAGGATCATGATTTAATTAATCATTTTCTCCTCATTTTATGTTTAGTTGAGGATCATGAAACATGAATTGTGCCTAATAAGTAATTGCCTTTGATTTCATTGTTGGTTGATGTTAAGCTTGTGTTGATTGTAATTATAGTAACAATGTTTAACTTTCTATCAAATATTTCTCAAAAATACCCATTTTATCCTCCTGGCCTTTAAAAATGTAGAAATTCGGAACATCTCTATAAAGTGTGCATATTCAGTACCATGCATTTTGTTTAGTAGTCTTATCTGCCATAATGTTTATCTTCTTCATAATTCTTTGTAATTCCTGAAGCTTGACATAATGAGTGTATATATATATATATATATATATATATTCATATATATAATGGTCAAACTGAGCATATCACATGATATGCCACCATTTCAGTTAAGTATCTCTTTTGAAAACTATGGTTATTCTCTCTTCAGCAATATTTCTGATTCATTACAGGCAGATACTTTCTTTAGGATTCCATAATATCTATCAGGTTGTTAAGCCTATGTGTCTGTTGATAGGTTTAGTGATTAATAGAACACTCCATGAGCCCTATTAAGGAATTTCCAATATTACCAAAATGGGGTAGATCAGCAAAGAAGACACTTGCAGGAAATGTTTGAACTACCATAGTAGAATAGATATATAGTGAGTAGAGGAAGCAGACCCAGTAAAAATAAAACAATATATACACATTCTCTCTCACACACACACATACCACACACAGAGAAGTGACAGCAATAAAGCCAGAGACAATGAAAATCTATAATTTTTTTCACAGACTTTAGAGGATGAAATACTAATGGAAAGCAGTGTTAGGTATAGACAAAAGTAATTTGGAAGAATATTTTGAGAGTTTATTTTGGAGGATGTGTGTTGATGGCTGAGCTGAGAAGAGGACTTGGAGGGAACATCTTCTCTCAGGTACTGTGTGCCTGAGAAACCACTCAAGGAGGAGGCCAATAGCATGAGTTATTAGTGATTAGGATTAGAAATCCAGTTCTAGTACTTATCTACCTAGCCAAGCCTCAGTTTCCTTCTTAGTGACTTCCTCAGATGGTTGGTGTTTGACTCCAAGGTGTCCTAATCTTGCAGCATCTTGTGAGAAACTGATAGACTATTTACTCTTCATCTAGTTGCATGTACATGCTTCTCTGGTGGTACATAATGATTTGCTATGGCTAATGAAATGTGATCAGATGAGCCAAGTTTGCTTTAGGCAGAAAACTAAATAGCCAGTACTTGGCAACAAATGCTCATTTTTGCTATAGCAGTCTGTGATGTTCCAAGTGGTGACTGCTCCACCAACATGTATACTAAAGTTGGAACAGAGACAGATGGAACACTGAGCACAAGTGGATACAAACCAGCTGCAGAGATCTGAGGGTTACTAGTTACTGTGGCACAATTGAATCTAACCTGACTGGTATAGAACCTTTTATATGTTGGAAAACTTTATAAACCATCTTTGCAAGCCTGAAACAAAGTACAGAGGATTCATATGCAAGTTATATTCTAGACCCTTAGTAAAGAATCTACTAATATCCTGTTCTTTAGAAGGCCATGCATTTTGGTAGAGAGTTGCTATTTCTCCGGACTACAAAAAAAAAGTCAAAACAGTTTTGACTTCCATGGAAGTATGGAGATTTTTCTAGTTAATTTCCCAATGTTATATATTTTTTTATATTTTCTGAGCTTTTTACATTTAAATCTTTCTGATATAGTAAAACTCTTTCATACCCAACTTTTAGCACCATTTCTCCATGAACCATTTACCTCAGTAATGATTCAAACTCCCACCCCAACTTAGAAGGTTATCTTTGTTGGAATCTCAAAATATCTACATTCTCTTTTTCAGCAGATAATCATCAGTCGCATTATTAGATGACTTTCTCCTCCACTACAATGGAGATTCCTCAAGTGTAGGGATTTGTATAATGTTGTATGTTGGGTGCAGGATATACTTCACACATTATACTCAGTAAGTGTTAAATAAATCTCAATATCTATTTTTTTTGGTGGGGGGGGGTCCTGTCGTGGGGCCTGAACTCTGGGCCTGGGTGCTGTTCCTCAGCTCTTCAGCTCAAGGCTAGCGCTCTACCACTCGAGCCACAGTGCCTTCCGGCTTTTTTCTTTTTGCTTATGTGGTGCTAAGGAATCGAACCCAGGGCCTCATGCATGCAAGGCAAGCGCTCTACCACTGAGCCACTTTCCCAGCCCCTCAATATCTATTTTTAATGGAGCATGAATTAAAATCTTGCTGAGTGAGACTTGATAGAGATTGGATTAAAGGTCAGAGTAAAAATGAGCGGGAGGTCCATCTATCTACAAAAGAAATAAGTAACTCTGATCAAGCCAGGACTGTGGATTTTCCTCATTTCTCCTCATGATGCATGAGATATTATCAAGGGTGTGATGGATCTGAAAGTGTATTTATTTTTTTGTGAGAGATGGACATTTTTGTTAAAAGAACAATTGAACCATGTAATTAGTGAATACTAAACTTTCGCCACAGATATTGCTTTAAGAACAGATTTGGAAATGGCTTTTCTGTGCATGCAGATTTTTTGTATTAATAAATCAACAGGAGACATGCGGGAGGTAAACAAAATTTGTATGCCATCTCTTACCATTCATTGGTAAGGAAAGAGAAGGCTCCTTTCTGGGGAGGTGATGGCAGAAATTTTCCAGGAACAGCAAAGAAATTAAGTAGCTATGAACAACTGTCCTGGGAGATGGCTGCATTCATTTCATGAAGATGAGATCTTCCAGAAGGGTTTTACCTTTGTGAGCACAGGAATGAAATCCACCAATCGTGAAGTCTCAGAAGCATCTACATAGTCCTTGATGATACTCAAAAGACTGTTCACAAAACCAAGGCTTGTCTAGGGCCAGAGAGAAATAAAACAAGAGTAGGTACAAATTCAGGGTAGGGAATCAAAGTATGATGAAACTGGTTATGGTGGCATATGATGAAACTGGTTATGGTGGCATCTGTCTGTAGTCCAAGTACCTGGAGGACTGAAACAAGAAGATCTGGAGTTCAAGGCTAGACTGTTTTAGATAACAAAACTTTGTCTTAAAATGCCACAAAAACTTAGACATAAAAACATGATGAAGCTGGGCACCTATGGCTCACACCTGTAATCCTAGCTACTCAGGAGACTGAGATGTGAGGATTACGATTCAAAGCCAGCCCCAGCAGGAAAGCGCATGAGACTTATCTTCAATTAACCACCAGAAAACGGGAAGTGGCAATATGGCTCAAGTGGTGGAGCGCTCGCCTTGAGCTGAAGAGCTGAGGGACAGCGCCCAGGCCCAGAGTTCAAGCCCCACCACTGACAAAAACAAAAACCAAAAAACCAACCTACCCCGCAAAAAAAAAGATGAATCTTAATTGTCATTCTTTCAGATGTTTTCTATTTTACCAAAATTTAAAGATTTATTTCTTTAACACTTCTATATATGTGTATCATGTGTGTGTTTTTAAAAAACTATTAAGCATATATATATATATACACATATATAAAGAGAGAGAGAGACAGACAGACAGATAGATAGACAGACAGACACGGAGCTGAAGATCTAACCCAGAACTTTGCTCATGCTAGGCAATGCTTACTACCAAACTGCAAACTGTATCCCAATCTCAGATGAATAAATTTTTATTGCTGTCTTTCCCTCCTATGAGAAGAAAGATAGTATTCATTCTCATTATACATGAGAAAATGGCCTTCATTTGAAATTAGCAATTTATAAAAATGACGCAGATATTTGGATTATGTCTACTTTCTCAAACAGTTATAGAAAATAAAAAATGAAGACTGTTGGTAAGAAGACAGTGGATATGTTTTAGAAGTCCTTTTTATGAAACTGAATTCCTGACCAGATTTGGAGATAGAATGTAAAATAAATTACATTACATATTTTAATATGGAATATAAGTTGTAGATAAGCACCAAGCATGAAATTTCATGATCTTTTGGTGAATTTTAATACATGATTGCTGGTATCTTGCTACTTTGGCTTACCTGAGTTAACTCTTCCAGGTTTGCAAAAAGTCTCCACAAATCCACATCCAGGAGATATTCATGAATTTGCAGATACTTTAGTGTACTCATAAAGATCTTTAAAAAATAAGTGCACATTATTTTGTGTTTTAAATTTTGAAGAATATCATATATACTTATTGATATTACTATAGACTGTAGAAATAAGTATTCCCAACATTTAAGGATTTTAATACAAATCATGGCATTTAAGTTTGATAGAATATATTGGAGATGTGCCCTTCCATATAAAATTGTTTCTGAAGTGAGTCCTTACAATGTTCCTGTTGAATACAATCTGTCCAAATGGACTTTCTGTGCTTCACATTGCCCAAGAAATCCCAAAGTTTCTCTTCTTGCTGACAGCACTAAATTCATAGCTCATGATATGTTCTCATTTATTCCTTCCTTTATAAAAACTCAAATGTCTGTAATGTCTAAGGAATTGAAAATAGAGAATGAGTCAATTAATGACTAGTAAGTAGTAATGTGAGTCAATTTGGATAAATGTGTTAATTATTAATGAAGAGGCTAAGCAAGTCTTGAGTTATTATTTCTTAAGTTGATGCTTTTACACAAAAGGGGAGCAACAATGAGTCAAGAAAGAACAAACAATTCATCTGCTCCTTATTCTATAAACTGCAGAGAATAATTAATTGGCAGAGGAATACTTGACTTACATTAGCATTTAAAAGGACAATTTTAAGAATTTTAAATGTGAAAAGATGAGGCTTCAGATGACTAATCTTCCTCAGGTGCCATACCTGAGTTATGTAACCAGTGCAGAGAGTGGTTCTTGAACAAGCATCAAATTATCCAGAGACCTTGTTAAACCAGAGCTTGCTAGTCTCCAACCCAGAGATTCTGATTCTGTAGATCTGGCATGGGGTCTGAGGATGTGCTGCTAACCAGTTCCCTAATGATTCAGATGAAGCTGATCTAAAGGCCAAATGTGGAGAACCATTAACCCAGAGCTTCCTAAATCCAGATTGGTATTGGTAGTCTAAAAATATGTCAATTCCAACCTTTGAAACAGTTGGCAAAACAAGCAACCAAATCCATAACAAAACAAAACCCAAGAATCCATAATGATAGCTCAATTGGGACAGGTTAGAAGGAACTAGTTTTTCGTTGTTGTTTTTATAATTCATGGTTTCTCTGAAATATTTGAGATTAAAAATATATTGGGTTCTCCAGCATATTTATCTTATTATTTGAGTTACAAATTACTTAAATACACTGGGGGAATTTAAAAATAATTTCAAATTAGCCTTTTCTTAAACAGAAATTGTTAGTTTGAAAAGCTTAGGTAGTGGGATGGAAGTTTCTGAGCCTTAGGACCAGGTATACTTAATTGGGTGAATCATTATTGCTTTGCAGGTGACCTTCCTGCTCTAGTGCTGTCCTCCGTGATAGAATCCTGTTTTTCACCTTATTCTCTCCTCCCCAGGCTGCCCATGTGACTTGTGGCCTACTGACCTGGCTTCCATCAGTGGCCTTGATGGGCTTAAGCCAGTTAGTATTTATTCCTTATCTAGTTAAAATTGTTAGTTCAGGGGTGGGCATGTGAATGAAGCTGTTGAACAAGATGAATCTCAAGATTTGTTTAGAATGCAGAGGAAAAAGTGTCCACCCCACCTCTCTCTTCCTTTCTCCCTCCTTTCCTGCTCAAAGACTAGCTATTTTGTGATTATAAGAGAAACTAGTCATAGGCTGCAGCTAATGCCTGGGAAGGCAGGTATGAGAGAGGAAAATAAATTTTGTCCTTGTTTTTGAGCCCTTTGATCAAACAAACTTCAAATTCTCCTTCCTGTGACTTTATCATCACATGGCCGGTTTACTACTGTGGTAGTTAATCTACTTTTCTGTTACTTGCTCTCCTAAACATCCTGAAATCCATACTCTAAATTTCAGTTTTTTCAGAGTGTCTTGTGGTTAAAACTTTGCTAAGAAGGGACTTAGTGTGGTGACTGACAATAAATCTTATAAAAAAACAACTTATACTTGGATAGCACTTAATAGAGTTCAAACAAAATGAATTTGATATACAATAATTGAATATGATAGGACATTGCCATGCTCTTTTTATAGCCTAGTTCAGAGATTGTCAGACTACAGTCTGTAGGCTGTAACTCATTGCAGCCACCTGTTTTGTAAATCATGTTTTACAGTGATGCTTTCATGTACATCCCTCTACATATTATCTGTACCTGTTTTTATACTGCAGTGGCAAATTGAGAAGTTGCAATGAAGACCGTATGGTCTGAAAGCTTAAAATATTTACTGTCTGAATTTCTATGATTTGTTTTCTCCTCAATCCATAGGTTGGAAACTTAATCCGCAGTGCTTTAGTGTTGGAAAAGCTTATTAGGCCATAAGGACTTCTACCCTTATGAATGAGGAGTTAGAACTAGTTATGTTGGAGCAACTTTGTCACCTCAAAAGTGGGCTTGTTATAAAGGTGAGGGGACCTTACTTTTGTTCTCTTTGTGGTTTCTCTCACTATATGATAGTTTCTTCCATGTTTTAATGCTGCAAAAAGGCATCCACCAGATACAACCCTGCCATTTCTGCCTCCATGAGTCAAATAAGTACTTTATTTACAAATTACAGCAACCCAAAGTAGACTTAAGATATAGGCCTTTACGGAAAATGTTTGCAAAAGCCTGGCTTAGTAAATAGAGAAGGACAGGATGGTAGGGGAAAAACAGAGGAGGAGGCAACAATGCTGGATAAGAAATGTACTCATTACCTTGCTCATGTAACTGTAACCCTTCCATGCAGTATTTTCACAATAAAAAACTTATTTAAAAAAGAAAATAGAGAAGTCACATTGAAGTAAGAGATTCACTGATTGAACTCAGTTTTCCCAAAGCAGTGCTCTCTAGATATGAAGACTAGAATTCAAAAATGTTATGGGCAGAGGTAGTGTTGAGAAACACATCGATCAGTCTTCTCTGTGGTCTCCATTCCCTCCTTTCCTCTGTGGTTCTTCTATAATGAACTAACTGTATTCTTGAATCTTCTCCAGAACAGAGTTGTAGCACTGTACAATCATCATAAGGTTAATCACGAATATACCATATAATCTAACTATGTTGTGTTTTATGTGGATATAGCCCCAGAAATCTGCACCTGTGACTGTGCAGTTGGTGAATACTTTGACCTGGCATTATTTCTGAGGGAGCAAAAACTCCAGAAGAGGAAACCCACTAAAGCTGGGCTGGGCTGCTTTGAGGGTGGTAGAGAACTTTCTCACATAGGAGTAAGTGAATGCTGGTGACAAGGAAGCAGAAGAGATGTACATGGCCAGTAGGAAGCTGGGACAGTGTACTAGGAGATTTCATCTGATCCTTAGAGACTACATTTAAGAAAAGATTGAAAAGATAGCCACTAATAGCTGACCACAAATAAGCAATAAGTAAAACTTTCTTCAAGATCTTCAGAAAGGGAAAATTTTCCTTTTTTAAAGCACAAACTCAAATCCTTAAAGAACCAAATTAATATTTCCCAGATACTATAAAAATTAAAGCCAGCATTACCATTTTAAGAACTAGCAAATGGTCCAAGAAATAAGTGCATTCACTTGTGAAAAGTTCCCATATGGCCTCTTGCTGCTTTGTCAAATCGAATTGATCATCAGGGAGTTTTTTATGTGTTTCCATGACTTCACTCCAGGTTTTATCCTATACATGGGGAGACAAAGGGAGAGTAAAACATTTCTACCTCATTGAGTTGACCTGTCCTCAGTTTCCTTCATCCACACTGTGTCAGGAATCCTTATGCAGATGCTGTGTCCCCATTGATAGCTCTTGGAACTACCCCAAACCACAGCTTTTCCTTGAGGCTCAGGGACACCAGTTCCTCAGTATGAAGCATGTAGATTTAGCACAAAAAAAACAAATTCAAATTGATGTTGTTTGGAATTATGCTTGAGAATTTAATGAATCATTTCCAGCTTGTTTTAAGCCTCAAAGAATCAAATCTAGAACAGGGTAGTCTTGATTCTAAGTTCCACTGGCAAAAGCTTGTAGATCATGATTATAACTGTTTTTGAGCTCTAAAAGACTGTTAAAAAGTGTCTACAAGCAACATATTTCTCAAATGAAGGAAGACACAGAGGTGAATGCTAGTAACAACTGTAGTTATTTGTTCTGAAAAGTCCTCCTTTAGCCAATTTGGTGGTTGTGAGAACATCATGTGATAGGCAAACTAAGATGGCTGAGGTATCACTAGGCCAGCTTATCTTATGAGACCATAAATATGGTCCATTATTGACAGAAATGAAATATTTTCTAATTGTGATTTTTAAATTTACTGTCTATTAATTTATAAAGGGATTTCAACATGATATATATGGTAGTTGACTGTAGTAACATTTCTAAAGGGCTTTGTGGCCTGCACAGTGCTCTCATCCATTACCTGTTTCAGATAAAGTAACTTCCCCTTAGGTTCAGGTTCAGTGTTTCCCCCAGGCCTGAGATCATTCCCTGAACCTGGCTGTTAGGTTATTATGAACAAGGCAATAATCTGATAACTTAAAACAACGATAAGAAAATAGAAGAAGAAAATGGAAAGCTAGTCCACATAACAAACAATTCAAGACAAACCTTAAGACTGTAGAACTCGTAGCCCCTGAAGTCTGTAATCCGCACAGAGGAAAGGCAGCTTTCCAGATTGGACATGTGTTTGTGTTTATCTTTGTTCTGCTTAAAGATGGCAAGAATATAGTATTTTCAAACATGAATTCCTTAGTGACATGGTTTTAGTAGCCTCTGCATCTCCAAACCACAAACAGATCCAGCATTTTAAACCACAAACAGCTCCAAGGCCATTTTAAGTTATATTATGACCTGCCAAGTCACAGAATGACAGAGCTGGAGGCTTAAGAGATTGTCTAGTTTAAACCTTTCATTCCACTAATAGAAAAAAAAAGTGGTCATACAACAAATACATGGACTCTTAAGTCTAGTGTCCACCCTGTGGAGTAACATATATTCTTCTGAGTTCAGACTTTTACACAGGCCATCAGCATGAGAAAGCACCATGGCTGTAATAGTTTGACCCCTCATATAGCAGATGTCTAAATAAAGCTGATAGTGTTAAGTAGGCTTGTCCAACACTATGATTCTCTACCAAAGAATAACAAATAACATGAAAAACTCTAGTTTTCTTAAAATGAGACTACCCACTTAATTTTGGTATTATAGTATCTCTTCTAAATAACATTTGTTTAAAAAATCTGATTACAAAAAGCTGGATGCTGGTGGCTCATGCCTGTAATCCTCGCTACTTAGGAGGCTAAGATCTGAAGATTGCATTTTGAAGCCAGTTCAGGCAGGAAAGTCCCTGAGACTTTATCTCCAATTAACCACAAGAAGCCAGAAATGGAGTTGTGGCTCAAAGTAGAGTACTAGCCTTGGGGCACAAAAGCTCAGGGACAGTGCTCAGGCCCAGAGTTCAAACCCCAGGAGTGGAAAAAAAATAAGACTTCAAAGGCACTGTAGAAAACCTGAGAAACAAAGAAAAACAATAACAAAATTAAAGCCATTCATAATCCTCACTTTCAGATAACCATCAAACACATTCTAGTCCTATTCATAATCTTTTTAAGTTGTGTTTATTTACACATCTGTTTTAAGTTTCTTTTCTCCTCTTCTTCCTCCTTCTCCTCCTCTTCCTCCTCTTCTTCCTTCTCCTCCTCCTTCTCCTCCTCCTTCCTCCCCTGACCCTTCCCTCTTTGGCAAGACTGAGGAGTTTTAAATGTCTTAAGCTTGATAGGTAAACATTTTACCATTTTATCCCTACCTCCATCTACTTTTGCCTTGGTTATTTTTGAGTGCAGGTCTTGCTTTATGTCCTGGCCATCCTAGGCTATGATCTTCCTAATTTCTGCTTCCCCTTGTATTTGCCATTGTGTTTACTCTGTAGCTGGGATAAGGTCTATGTGCCACCATGCTCAGCCATTGGCTGAGATGGAGTCTCACAAACTTTTATGCCTGGGCTGGCCTGAAACAGCAAATCCCTGATCCCCATCTCCCAAGTGACAGGGATGACAGGCTTAAGCCATGGAATCCGGTTTATAATTCTTTTTAAACAATATATTGTGAACATTATTTTTGGTTCATTCAGTATTCTGTTGCAACAGAGAATGCTGCCCACTTGAAGAGTTCATATTACCAACCAAACCAGGACGAAGCTATCAAATAAAAGGGTAGACTTTCTAACATCAGCTTGGCTGCATTTCAGTGGAATATTTATCACCAGTAATTTTTCAGCATTCAGTTGCCTCATTCTGTTGGCAAGTGACTTAGCATTATGCTAAGAACAAAAGACCCATCTGACAGCTATTGTGGGAAGGGGATCCTGTGAGCTGGATAAGAGACCCTATAACAGCTTCAAAATTGTTATAAGGGGCCATGGTGGATTTCTCTGGCCTAGCTGTAGCACTGATAGACAAAATCTCTTGTTGATGCTTGATTCTTCATGTTAGCTAGCAAAGAAATCTTGGAGCAAGTTGGGGACCTCCTACAGCAATGGGGGCATATGCCTTTTGTTTATGTCTGAAACCATAGTGATTGTATGTTGTGGCAATTTAAAAAAAACCAGCCAGTTGGAAGAGAAAGAAGCTAAGACAATGGCAGTGTTAGAATTGTGGGGAAGTGGGTGCCTGCTTCATACTTTGAAGGGTACTCACTGTGGCTACCATTGGGCTTGACCAAGTTCCTGCTCAAAAAAATTTGAGGAAGGTGTCCCTCCCTTGGGACTGCTTCTATCTAGTGGGAGCTCTGCTTATCTTGTTCTTCAACAAGAACGTTTTAGTTTTTAAAATACCTTGATTTTTTATTTAAAAAATTGGCGGGGTGGGGAGTGTTTCCAGGAGAAGGGAGGTGACAGTTTCCCAGTGGTCATATTAACCCTTTTAAATCACAGTGCTATCTAGTACCTGTTGCTGGCAAGAATCTGCAGCGTACTGGGGAGATATAGTGGGTAAAGAAAAGTGAGAAGCCAAGATTGACTTGGTGGGTTCTCATATTTACTACCTAACATGTAAATTGTAGGGCAGTAGATTCTGGTGATGAAGAATTGGAGTGACTAAACGGTCAAACTGACTGTGTACATTTTGGAGAAGCTGAGAAAGAGATAGCATTGTGTGGATGAGGACAGTAAGGACAGTCAGAAAAGAGGAAGTAGTATCCAATGTTGACTACTCCCTGCCCCTCCCCACTTGGAGGGATGATGCGATGTTGGGGTTAGCTAGAAACATACCTGGTCCGCTGTTTACAAGCTCTGTGATTGTAGGCAGACTGTTCAGTGTCTCTAGACCCAGTTCCCCATTTGTGAATTTAAGCAATAATGCCATCTACCTTATTGAGTTGTTGTAAGAACTGAAGAGTTCATATGCATAAGCTATGAGATATATGCACAATGATATATGTAATCAGAAACAGTGCCTGTTAATGTGGTAACATTACATATGTGTGTATGTATAACAATATTACTAAGAAAGTATATATTATATATAGAGAAAGAAAGAGCAAGAAAGAGGGGGGGGAACTCCTACCTGTATAAATGATAATTCCAATAAGTTTTGATGGGTTGTCCAAGTCTAATATAGAATTTTTTCTTCCTTCTCTCTCTCCTTCCTTTTTTCCAACTATCAATAACAGTAAGCTATTGGCTAAAAAGGGAAATTCTATAATAGACTGGGAAAGTGCATCATAATTTATAGCTGTATAATATTGTGTGTGATATTGATAAGGATTATACCATTTATATAGGTAGGAGATAGTCAATAAATAAGGCTGAGGAAGAAGGAAGGAGGTAGACATAGTGATTTTAAGCAAACCAGATATTATATCCTTTTAAAACTGGACCTTCAAGAAGTTTGTTTTTCTTCATTGCTGAGAACATTGTCCTAAGCCATTTTTCTGTTTTACTTCTGTGTTGATAAGTCCACATCATGATTTCACCCAACCACAGATCAAAAATATTTTTAAGAATTGTATCTGGGGCTGGGAAGGTGGCTCAGTGGTAGAGCGCTTGCCTTGAATGCTTGAGGCCCTGGGTTCGATTCCTCAGCACCACATAAGCAAAAAGAAAAAAGCTGGAAGTGGTGCTGTGGCTCAAGTGGTAGAGTGCTAGCCTTGAGCTGAAGAGCTGAGGGACATCACCCAGGCCCAGAGTTCAGGCCCCACGACCGGACCCCTCCCCCCAAAAAAAGAATTGTATCTGTGCTGAACATGTGCAAACTCATTTTCCTATATTTCTCCAAAGTTTAGAATATGAACTATTTGCATAACATAGTATTGGCTACCATAATTAATCTAAAGATGATGTAGGGTCTACAGAGGGCTATATTTAAGTTACTTGCAAACATTATATCATCTGGGGCTGTACTGGAGTTTGTACTCAGGGCCTTTTGCTTTCTAGGAAAGTCACTTGAGCTGTGCCTCCAGTCAATGCCATCATGTGCAAGGGGTTGATCTTTTTCTTTGTATTGCCACCACTGCACCAACCTGAATATACATGGAACCTTACATGTGCCCAGTCCTTGGCACAAGTTCACCCAACGTGTGGAACAAACTGCTTCTTTAAGGGGAAGTAATGGATTGATTCTAACTACTTGTAGGACATTTCTTTCATAGCTAGGTCCTTCCCTTCTGAATAGGAAACTCTTATAGATGGATTACCTGGGAGAGCCAGGGGAAACTAGGCTCCTCCTATGATCTCACACCTGACCAGTGACCTGACCTGCCTCTTGTTTATATGAGATGCTAAGAGAGAATGTTCTGTCTAATTATCTCATAAAAACAGAGAAAGTATGTCCCTAAATGACTGATGAGCCAATAGCCCTAGGAATCATGGTGGTGTTGCCATGTAATTAACAATTTATTATTTGTAGCTCATAATATTTAGACTCAGTTCCATATAAAACTATTAATTAAAAATATAAACATTAATCATATACCTGGCTATGAGAACAAGTAGTTTTCCAGATGTTAATTAAAAACACTACTACAATAATATGACCAATGCTGAATGAGTGTTTTTGAGTGCCTAGTGTTCCACATTATCTATGCTTTTGTCATTGAAACCATCTTGTCAGGCTTCAGTGATTACTTTCCATCTTTGCAAAGAGAAGACATAGAGCGAGGGAGACATAGACCTGTATGTTAAGTAGGTGTGATTAGAACCTTAGGGGGCTTTTAATTGAACCACTAGGCTTAAAAAAAACCCTCAAGATGTTTATGTCTATGAAGCCATCATAGATCTCAGCAATGGGTAACAAACAGACTGAAGAGATCATGTGAGCCGATTTTTATCAGAAAATGCATAGGGACTTTCCATAGGCTCTGCTCCTGGGAAAGACTGTCATGTATGCGTATTGCAAGCAGAAATGTATCAGAGGACCCAGCAACAGGATTTTCCTTTGGTCTATAAAGTAGCCAGGTGGGCTGGTTATGATCATGAAACCTCCCTCCCTGCATCCACAGTAGGAAAGGCTTAACTTGTCCCAGGCCATCTTTGTCCTAGGCAGTAAAGACTTAGGGATTGCTGATTTAGATGTATTGCTCTTTAATAATTGACAGAACCAAGAATGAATTAAAAACCCAGTTAGACTGATCCAACTGACTTTCCCAGAATAGAGTATTTGTAGAGTCTGTTTCTGTAATATCTCATTAATTTTTGAACATTTCCAAATATGTGGTGCTGGGACATAGACTTATGCAGGTTTCATTTCATTGAGTGAGCTGTTTTTAAACCATATTAAGTTATAAGTTTAGTGCTCAAAAACATCCCTCTGTTAGATTGCATTGCTTTCTTTTTTGTAGAACTCATTAACAGCTGCAATTAGTACTGTTTTGATGCACAAAATGGCACTATTTGGCATGTTTCATATCCAGTAGTATGGATGTGATACCATTTACATTTCACATACCATGTGCTTTTATGTTAAGACAAAGCAGAAGAGGCTCTTCAGCCATTTATTTTGCTTTCTTAGCTTAATTAAAAAAAAAAAGACAGTGCACTTACCACTCCTCTTTTGGAGAAAGGCCATCTTGGTTTCTTGGATTCTAATGGGTGAAATAAAGGGAAATGTATCATTAACACAACTACTGACAGATCATTGCAGTCCTTTCTGCAAGCAGCTTTTTGAAAATGAGCCAAACACAATCTGCTGTACTTTAATCTTCTTTGCTTATGTACATAATGCATATTTATATTTTTGCAGATGAGTGATTCCATGTGACAACCTAGATGTTGATGTTCCATTGTTCTTTAATGTGGTATTATGCTGCTGTTCCAGGGTGTTATTTAGGCCTTCTTTTCCCCAACACCTGGGAAGAAATCTACAAATTGCAATAAAGACATTGAATATTAATTTAATACAGAATCATAGCACCTTTTGACTGAAAGAATTAGCCTTTATTTTACATGACACTTTCATAAAGCATCCCCTCATATTCAATGATAGCAGCTTACCTAAACAGGAAACTTGGAGCTTTCTTCAACCCAGTAATCCCCAGGTGCTGTTAAATAGGAGCATCAACATTCCTTCCATTTCTATGGGACTCGTTGTTACTATTGGTTACCATCCCACTAGTCTTTAGGAGTTGCTTTGAATTGGCCTTTTGATTTTTATGTTGTTTATGATATTCAGAAAATTCTGGGTCAGGCGTGGTGGCACACACTAGAATCTTAGCACCTAGGAAACTGTCGCAGGAGGATCTTGAGTTCAAGCAGCTCAGGATGCATAGTGAGATACTTTAAAAAAAAATCTGGGAATTGTGTCTTAGGTTTATGTGGTATGCTATGAGCCCTCAGAGCATGGAGGTCATCTAAATTTGTCTCTGTGAGACTCTAATGTCTTCTTAATTTTTCAGTCAGTAGAAGTCACTTTCTGGGGAGCATCCACTGTAAATATTCACTTGAGGACTTTTTCTACTGTTGCCTTGGACAGGCCCAATCCTCTCATCCATTCTGACTACATTACTATCTTTATACTTAGGAGAGTAGGTAGAATCTTCCCTAGTGTGGACAGTAACTCTGAGTTACTGTCCCTCATATGACTGGTGGTGAATTATCATATGCAGTTTGAACTGCAATTATTGGGGCCCCAGTCTTTGGCAAATTTCTCTCTTTTGTTTTTTGAACTTTGAGGATAACATTTAGAATCTTGGGAAAATCTTACAAGTTTTCAGAAGATTATGAATACGTAGTCTTTCATCATCTGTGTTAAATTTCTTTGCTGAATCAGAATCTCCACTTAAACAATACCTCAGAAGACTCATATGAGTATCACAGCTCAAGAGGCACTGCTTTAGAACATGACTCTAGAATATGATATCTGGATTCTAAACTTCTTAGAAAAGGGCATGGAGGGAACAAGTGTGGTGATGTTTGCCTGTTATCACAGTTATTTGGGAGGTAGAGATAGGAGGAAGGATCTTGGTTCCAGTCCAGTAAGTACAAAAGTATGAGACTGAATCTGAAAAACAAGCTAAAAGCAAAAGGATTGGAATCTTCTCTAGAGAGCACAAAGTCAGAGGAATCTGAGTCCAATTCCCAGTACTACAAAACAAAACAACAACCAAAAATAAAATAGGGAATGGAGAACTATAGTAGGGGATTTGTTCATCTTCGACTGTGTGGCATCTACCATGATGCTAGGCATACAATTTATAAGAGAAACTTAGAAAACATTTAGAAGAATCATCACATAGCACTCAAGGTTTTGTTCCTTACTCTGGGGACTCTTAAATTTCATTGCAGGGTTTGTTAAAACACGGATTGCTGGACACCATCCTGAGTTTCTGATCCAGGAAGTGTGAGGTGGGGCCCCACAATCTGCATTTCTGACAACTTTTCAAGAACTGCTGCTATAGTTGTTAATGGGTATAGAGCATTTGTGAGAGTCATGATATATATATTAATCTATGTACTAATCTTAGTTCATGACACATAATCTTAGTTTATGACACATAGGCTTTAGTTTAGACTTAGCTCTTATTTCTGCATGTGGAACATATCCTTAAGCATCTCATTTTGTACCTTCTGGTTTGTTCATTTGACTTGTATCATAGTAGATAATAGATGTTCATTCCAATGCATTGTAATCAATTAAGATAGGAAGTGTAAAAGAGAACTACAAAAATGAAGAGCCATAAAAATGTATGTTATCCTTATTCCCTGGTGGATTCTAGGTTTTGAATCCAGAGGACTCCATCTGCCATTTAGTGTGTGGCTGAAGCAAGCTAAAAAAAGAACTTGGAGCAAGAGTCAGGAGCCTTAATTCCATTCCTCTAATTCAAATCACCTCTCACCATGACTATGCCACTTCTTTATGAGTTTCATTTTGGACAGAGGTGAATAAACAATGAGCTTGGTGTTTTTTTTTGTTTTTTTTGGGGGGGGCTGGTCGTGGGGCCTGAACTCTGGGCCTGGGCGCTGTCCCTCAGCTCTTCAGCTCAAGGCTAGCGCTCTACCACTTGAGCCACAGCGCCACTTCTGGCTTTTTTCTTTTTTGCTTATGTGGTGCTGAGGAATTGAACCCAGGGCCTCAGGTATGCAAGGCAAGCGCTCTACTACTGAGCCACCTTCCCAGTCCATAGAGCTTGGTGTTTTTTTAAAAAGTAGTTTTCCAGAGTCTACGACTTCTGAGAATGCCATAGATAAGTCTTTGAATCCCTTCTAGATTTAGTTAATGAACTTGAACTAGATCTATTATATATACTAGATTTCTAAGTAAGGATTCTTCCATAAAATGGGCCCTAGTTTAAAAACTACTAGTTTTTTTTTAGTTCTCAAAGGCTTTGAGTTGCTTGGCCTCAAAACTATGAGTAAAGCCCCCCCCCCCCCATACCTCCTTCATCACAAGTACTCTTCTTTCACAGTTGAAGATATACCCATAAGACTGCCTCTCTTTATCAGACATGTGCTACCAGCATCCCTGATTCTACAGTGTCACCCTAGTTCAAAGACACCAGTTGAGGCTGAAGACAGGAATGAAGTAATGGATAAACTGTACAATAACTATAGGTAGGTTGTTTACTAGTCCACCAAGGGCCTTGATCTGAAATGTTCACTTTTATTGGTGGACCTGTCCTAAGTCCTGAACCTGGTATAATTATTTGACAAATGCTTTATCTATCTCTGTAAGTGGACTGCATAATACAAGACTGGTAGATGATTCTGGTGATTCATGTCTGTGCCTATTCAAATTGATGAGAATTTCAGTCTAACTGATCCACTTTTGGAAAGTCTCTTTTCCTTAATGACAATATGTGCCCAATATTAGACATAGGTAGAATGAATAGCACCTGGATTCAGCAGCAGAAGTGGGTGACACAGGTAATCAGCAGCTCCATCAGACACCAGAAGATCTCCAGGGAATACTTCAAGTCCTGGCAAGTTCAGTACCACAGAACTCCGTCTGTGTTCATAGAACCTGTGTTCAATAGATGCAGGTGAAAGTTTAGAGCTGGGTTCAGGCAGGTTTATCATTCAGTTTATCTGGTTGATATGAGGAAATAGCTGCTAGTGGGAAGTGCCTGCTAGCTACTTGGTCTCTTACGAAGAATTCAGAGGCCACTTCTGGATCCAGGCATGGGAGGGTCATGATGACATACAAGTAGCACACATTAATTTGCCACCTCTTTGATCCTTGTTATTGAAATAGGGTGATTGGGTCTAGCCAGTGCCATCTTGGCCACATAGTGGATGGTAGAGTCTGGCATCTTGTCTTCATGGCAAGCAAAAGTGAAGCCCCCACCACCCAGGAGATGGGTATGCCACCTGAATCCCTGGAAGCAGGGTCAGGCTCTTGGCTGATAGGTTACCAAACCTGTCAGTCCAGTGCCTGGGACTGGGAGTTTCTTGTGACCCTGCCCTCAGACCTAACTCTATTTAAGCCTGGACCACTTCAGGCGCCATTATGCCATGTCACATGTCTCTGTGTTCATGTCCTATCTCCTGGCTCTTGCCTCTTCTTCAGTCACCATGGAGTCCCACTTCAGCTTTCCATTGGAGCTTAATTGATTAGTTGGTATTTTTTGTTCTTTCTTTCCTCTCCAGCCTTCATGGTTTAGTTTCCTCACTGTGTTAAGTATACTTGCTGTCTGCTGGTCTTTGAGACAGGAATCTACCATTTAGTAGCCGGCCTTTTAATAAAGACTCCAAATTTTTTTTTTTTTGGGTCCAGTCATGGGGCCTGAACTCTGGGCCTGGGCTCTGTCCCTCAGCTCTTCAGCTCAAGGCTAGCGCTCTACCACTTGAGCCACAGCGCCACTTCCAGCTTTTTTTCTTTTTGCTTATGTGGTGCTGAGGAATCGAACCCAGGGCCTCATGCATGGAAGGCAAGCACTCTACCACTGAGCCACCTTCCCAGCCTAAGACTCCAAATTTTGACCTCTCAAAATGTGGCTTCTAGCTGGGCACTGGTGGCTCATGCCTGTAATCTGAGCTACTCAGGAGGCTGAGATCTGAGGATAGTGGTTCAAAGCCAGCCTGGGCAGGAAAGTCCATGAGACTCTAATCTCCAAATAACCACCAGAAAACTGGAAGTAGCTCTGTGGCTTAAGTGTGCTCACCTTAAGCTGAAGAGCTGAGGGACAATGCCCAGGCCCAGAGTTCAAGACCCACGACTGACAAAAAAACAAACAAAAACAAAAAACAAAAAACAAAACCCAAAACAACAAAATGTGTTTTTTCTGTTTTCTCACCTTACAACATTATCATTTCTTACTTTCTTTTTTTTTGTCAGTCATGGGGCTTGAACTCTGGGCTTGGGTGCTATCCCTGCACTCTAAGAGCCATTTTTGGTTTTCTAGTGGTTTATTGGTGGGAAGAGTCTCATGGACTTTTCCTGTCCCGGCTGGCTTTGAACTATGATCCTCAGATCTCAGCCTCCTGAGTAGCTTAGGTCACAAGCATGAGCCACCAGTGCCTGCTATACACATCTATTTTTACATCATATTTATGAAATACGGATTTCCATATACTGCAGTAAATACAAGAAATCACATTGCATATGCAAATTGATACATTTCATATTGCACTATGTTCATTTACACCTTTGCAATGTGATAGTAACATAAATTTTACGTCTGGTGCCATAACCCTTCTTTTTTTTTTGCCAGTTCCAAGGATTGAACTGGTCTGGGTGCTGTCCCTGAGCTCCTTTTTCTCAAGGCCAGCACTCCACCACTGGAACCACAGCTCCACTTCCAGCTTTTTCTGTGATTTACTTGGAGATAAGAGTCTCATAGACTTTCCTGGCCGGGCTGGCTTTGAACCATGATACTCAGATCTCAGCCTCCTGAGTAGATAGAACTAGTGCCTGGCTGAATTCTTATCATGAAGAGAATGTAGGCTTTTGATTAAAATAAAAAGCCATGCTTGTCCTTATTAGTCCTTTGAACCGCGATCCTCAGATCTCAGCCTCCTGAGTAACTAGAATTATAGGCATGAGCTACCCGCTCCCAGCCAACATTATCATTTCTAATCTTGACTAATTTAAAGCAGAAGGGATCATGTGGACATGTCAACTCAAATCACAGAAGGAGACTAGGGGAAAGTTCTCAAACCCAGAAGTCTTTGCAAATGATGTGCAGAAGTGAGCAAGCCTGTGGAGGTGGTCCCTTCACTCCTACTAATCCAACACTGATTGTTTGAGGTTGTTACTTTAGTGTTTCTTAGATGCCTTGTTGGAAAAGCTAGTAAGTAGGATAATTCACTGTATCTCTCTACACACTTTATGAAATTTCCCCTCTTTGGGGGTACTCACAGAATAAGTGGTTGCTATATTACACACAGTGGGGAGAAGTACCAAAGTTGGTGGGCATTTGCTCCATAATATCTAAGGAGCTTAGTGAGTTGAGAGGTTGGCCCTGTTGGAACCTGCCTGAACAACAAATCCTAGAATTTCTTATAGCTTCTTTACTAGAACTATTCAGAGCCCTTTGCTCTATTCTCAGGGATGGGAGATATAATTCTCCTCTTATTTAACAGCTATGACCCTCAAGCTATTTTTTCTTCAACCAATAGTTTAGCTTATAGGATACTTCATGTAGGAAATTTGTTTTGATTCAGCAGCAAGGGCTTTGAAATTTCCTGAAAAATTTCAAGCTCAGGTTTGTCATACCCCTCTAATCATGAAGGTGTTAGCTATAATTTTTTTTTTCATGTGGCACTCATTATACCCAAGTGCCTTTATCTGAAGCACCAGTAATCTCCCTAGCCCAGCCCTTCCTCTGATCCTTCCACCTTCCTATCTACTTACTCAGGTCTTACCATGTTTATAGACAAGCCCTATGATCTGATCTTCCGGTGGCTCACGGTCTTTCTGCCTACTTTGATCTCTTGCTTCTTAATTATGCAATCTTGGATCATGTATACTTTTTTTTTTTACACGTGCAAACTTATTTTCATTAGGTAATTATGACTGGAGGTCTTAAGGATGTATACTTTTTCTTTTTTCTCTCCTCCCTCTCTCCATCTCCCTTTCTTTCTCCTTCCCTTCCTCTCACTCCATCCCATTCTCCCTCCTGCCTCTCCCTTCCTTGTTCCTCCTCCTTTCTTTCCCCTTCCTTCCTCCCCTTTCTCCCTTTCTTCCTCTCTCCCTATTCTTCCCTCCCTCTCCATCTCTTTTTTCCTCCCTGCCTATCTCTCTTCTTTCTACTTTTTCTTCCCTCCCTTTCTCTCTCACAGAACACCTGGCCCCATGCTGTTTTCTTATCAATATGTTTGATATTGAGATCCTGACCATGGCCTGTCAAGTTCATCAAGCTACTGACCAGTCTGCTGTACATTAGTACTCTATGGGATTTATTACAAATACCACCCCTAAGTTCCATTTTTGTGATTCTGAGTCAGTGGGTTTAAGGTGGGCCACTACATCTGTAATTTTACCCACTTTCCTAGATACTCACTAGAGGAGGAAAGCAGGCAGTTTTGACACTATAAATAACTTGGTACAATTCTTTTACATATTTGAAAATAGGATCACTTAAAATGTTTAGCCTTTGGCTAAACCCCTCCCCTGTTTAAAAGGATCATTTAAAGTATGAATAGTAGAACAAATTATTTATGATTTTCTACTTAGCAAATAACTTATATTCTGTAAAGTTCTATAAAATGTAAGAAAGATGCCTCAGCCTCTACAGATAGATGTTGTGGACAAATACTAAATTTCAGTTATGAACGGTCACTTGCTCCAAGTCTTCCCTGATGTTTTAAGAGGTAATTCTTCCTCTTTATGCTCTCCTCCGTAAACTGTCAGATAAGCTGTTTGCATTGTTTATATGTGTTAATAAAATCAACCTCTTAACTTGGTTCTTCCCCTTCAGTTTATCCTCCTGACTGTGTTCTGTACAGTCACTCAAGGTGAGTTATCCAAGATTTAAGTGTGACTTTATTCCCCTCTGGCTTCAGAGGGTGTTTGGTTGTCTTATACCAGCAAAGCATTTTAATCTATATACTCAATACTTGCATGATCGATCTGGTTTCATTTACCTTCCTTAGTTTTTACTTGGAAATTTATTCTCTGGAAAAAGGAATGGTTTATAAATCACTGCTCAGAATGGTGTCTCAAATGTTGGAGACTTGGATGGAAATGCTTTACACTTTCCTTATTCTCAGGCCTCAACCTACGTACACCAGGAGATGCAGGCTCAGGGGGTATCTAAAAGAAATACCTTAAAAGAGAAATATGGAAATAAAATTGGACTCATCTTTATTTGATTATCTCTTCTCCTTGGGGTTTTTGAATCTGTTTGTACCTGTCTTTGCTTTTCTCAAACCATTGTCATAGATGAAACAGGAAGGAATTGCATAATCTTCTCATGCTGTCCTCTCTCAAGGAAAGTGCTTTTCTTTAAAAGGCTGTTTTTTAGATTCATGCCTATTTCCTCTCTTATCCTGTACTCCTAGCTCCTGGTCTAAATGCCCCTGGTTAGTGACAACCCAGTGAACATTTGTTGGGTAAATGGCACAATAAGCACAATAGGGCTTAGAACTTTCCTTATCATTTGCCAACATGAAATCCTGTAGAATATGGCTTCCAGTAATTATCTGTATAGTGTTCTCTAATTGTGCTCTGCATGAATGTCCTGTCTGCCTATACGCCTTGGCTCCTGTAATGCCCATCTGCCTGCTCCTCTCCATTCTGTTTGCCTGGCAAAAAGATCCACCTTGAAACCCTTGGCCTAGATATCCTTGCTCAGAAATCATTTTTTTTTGACTATTCAAGGAATATCATCTCTCTCTCTCTTATACACACACACACACACACACACACACACACACACACACACACACACATAACATTCTGTCTCCTACCTATACATTTTATCTTATAATGACTTCATTGACAGCTTCTCTTGGTTTGTTGTATATCACAGGAATCAAATCACTAAGCATAGAGCCTGACTTAAAGCAGGTTTTCTAAAAGCTTCTTGAATACATAGACATGTTGACCTATACAATAAAATACTTACAGTCCTCAAATGAATTGTGGGGATAAATAAACAGTAATACGCATATACAATAGCAAAATACAGTTTGAGATCCTCACCTTCTCTCTACCCCATTATTGATGGTTGCCCTCATCCCATGTATCTCTCTTTTGTCTGGAGTACCTTCTAACACAAGAGACATCTATTTGACAGGAGCTAGGTCAGGTTTGGGGTTGAGTTTGCATATATGCAGCAGAGGAAAGAACTGGCTTGCACAAGCCTGAGTCCATGACCTTGGCTTTTGCTTTGGTGGGTAAAACCCTGTGATGCTCATTCTAGGAAGGTAGAAATGCCCCTGGAGGGGCGTCACAGACCCTTTATGGACATTGATTGGTTTTTGTTCATCAAACGACAGCAAGGGTTAACAAAAAGTATCGTAACCATACAGAGACCTAGGAAAGCTATTAGAGGGAATGCTTGTACCCAACAACATGAAGAGGCATAGCTGTAGAAAATGAGGCCTTGTATAATTCATGCTTGCTAGTGTACTAGATTTCCTGAAATTGACAATGACCCTGGTCTGCCACTTGGAGTTGCTCAGAATACTGGACAAATGATACCAATACAAACAACAGTAGTGAAATTAATGATACTTTGAATTTAGGTTGCTTGTGTGTGGGGGAGTGTTTTGTTGGTTACAAATTGGTGTCTTGTTAGATTGCTTCTTTTAAAAGGTGGTATGTATGCAAGAATTCTGTGTTCTGTTCTGGACTGTCTACCTACTGGAAGTAATCATTTATTCCTCCCCCCAGACAAATTTTTTTTTGTGTGTGTGTTTGTGTGTGTATGTATCCAGCATTTAGATATGTAATTTCCTCATAAAGAGATTAAGCTAAGGAACAAACTAATGATAAATGTAAAACAGGAGGTGGCTAGTAACCTACTGTCATGGTACATGGTACTATCATAGTACTTAGTGAGTATATTGCCCTTTATTGAGAAACACATTTTGTTATTGTTTTGTCTGATACTTGGCTAGCTTCAGGACAAATTTCTAGGTTCAAAAAGTTGTATTACTTGATGACTCACCCAGACTTGGCAGTCCTTTAGGGTGTGTCAGCCTATGCCTGGCCTACCCCCATTACCACCCAGAACCCCATAACAGCAACATATACACTAACCCTGAGTTGCGTTGTCCCAAGCTGGTCAAATCCGAAGGAACTAGTCCCATAGTTGCTGGAATAACCTTGTCTCCCTTCTGGTACCAGAATGTCTCCTCCTGTCCTTCACAGCAGATTGGAAGACCCATGGTGTGGGCTGAGACAGCAGCAATGTAGAGAATCCCAGGAATTCCCCCCACAGCCTAGCAAGCTTTGTGCCCAGGAATCAGCACTCAGCTAGATGAGGCTGCTCTGGCATATGAGTGCCTGAGGAAATGCTAGAGGGAAAGTTTCTGCTGCTAGAAATACGTACCCCATTGGGCACCAAATTCATAGGTTTCATAAACAGTAGATTGGTCAGGATGATTTATTATTCTTATTTAATATCAGCTGGCACTTACTGAGTTCAGATTCTCCCTAGACTATCTGTAGAGCAGTTATAATGCCTGCTTTAAAGGATAGGTTGATTAGGAAGAGTAAATTAAGATTCAGTGATAATCTTTTAAAAATTTTTTCTTGTTCTCAGAAGAGAAATGGTAGTTCTCTTGCTTAAATCTAGGATATATCTTTTTCCACTGAGTGTCTTAGAAGAAGATGGTTGGGAATATTCACTTGTATGCTTGTCTATAATTTCTAGTTCAACTTCCATCTAAAGTATCTTATTGGATGGAAATCCATTGGAGAAGGCAGAAAGAACAGGAACGTTCTTCAGTTTATTTTTGTTTGGAACCTGGCACCTGATGGCTATATTATAAATGCAGAGTGGAGTGAATAATTGGAAGACATGTCCCTTTAAAACCCAGAGCAAAGTTGCCACCCAGAAGTCTCACCACAGACTCTCACATAGGACAGGGGTACTCCTTACCTACCCTGTGGTGTTTTAGGGTTAATCAGTTATATATGTTTGGTTTTATGTTGCCCAGCCTTATCCTCCTGCCTACCCTTTTGAGTGTTTGGATTACAGGTTTGTGCCACCATGCCCAATTTTTGATTACTAAAGATATGGGTAACTAGACTGGTAACAATTTAGAATGTCATCCTCTTTCTAGGCTACTGCTCTTTTTGTGACAAGTCAACATACTACTAAATGGGATTAAACAATAATTATTCAACTGCCCAAGACTCTAAATTATGTTCAAGTGGTAAGTACAAAAGTAAGATGTCAACCTTGAGCTTGTCAAGAAACAAGAGGGAGATAAGTAAGTACTTGGAGGAGAAGAATATACAAAATAATTTCCCTCAGGGGCTGGGAAGGTGGCTCAGTGGTAGAGTGCTTGCCTAGCATGCATGAAGCCCTGGGTTCCATTTCTCAGCAAAAAGAAAAGAAGCCGGAAGTGGTGCTGTGGCTCAAGTGGTAGAGCACTACCCTTGAGCTGAAGAGCTGAGGGACAGTGCCCAGGTCCAGAGTTCAGGCCCCATGACTGGACCCCCCCACCAAAAAAATAATAATTTCCCCTACAGGCAAGTCCAAACCTAACTAATTGATCCACTTGTTTTCCTTTCTATAATATTGAATACCAACTCTGGGCCAGGCAATCACAGGTTATAAATAAAGTATTTGGAAGGTATTAAACTCAATATTCAGATACATCAGATGAGTGTTCCACAATCAGTCATTTAACTCAGTGTCATAGTAGTTTAGAAAGAATTATAAATCAATAAGTTGCATGAGAAGTGCTGAATGAATGAATGAATTGTGCCTCTAAAAATAATAGCAATTATTTGACTTACAATATTTAATAGGTATAAAAGACTTCTGAAATAGATATTCATTCTATCTCCACTCCATGGATGAAGATGTCCTCAAGCTGATAAAGAAGTTGTCTATGATCGTGTTGCCAGAGACAAGTGGAGATAGAATTCAGATTCAGACATTTGACTCAGCTTTTAGCTAATTCCATGTTATGCTGCCCCCTAATGGTACCCTAGGTGGAAGGAGTATCTGGGATTCTTCATCAATATTTTTCTTTTTTCCTTCCCCCTCAAGATAGACTGTCAAATACCATGTCATTTGGTTTCCAACCTAATTTTACCCCCACTTTCTAATTTGAGTATATTTAACTTTTTTCCTACTTTCTTTTGAGGGTCAGTTTTTCAGGGTAACATGGAAGTTAGATGAGATTAACAGCTTTTCGTGACTATGGAATATAAAGAAGTCTCCCTACCCACAAATTTTCCTTCCTTCTTTCCTGATGTATAAAATTCCACTCAGACAGCTTATTTGTTTGGCTTTTAGCTAAGTCCTTTGTCAAAACAAAAATACATTGGAGGTAGTTCATTGCATTGTAATCTTAAGTTGCTTATCAGCCTGCCTGTTTCCTTCTATCCATTTCTTCCTTCAATATATTTGGAAATAGACTCTAGTTGACTCCTGGATGTTGGAATGGTCCTTGTTCTTGGAAAATTTATTTTTATATTTATTTACTTTTTTTCTGTCGTGGGACCTGAACTCTGGGCCTAGGCACTGTTCCTCAGCTCTTCAGCTCAAGGCTAATGCTCTACCACTTGAGTCACAGTGCCATTTCTGGCTTTTTCTGATTATGTGGTGCTGGGGAATCAAACCCAGAGCCTCATGCATGCAAGGTAAGCACTCTGCCACTGAGCCACCTTCCCAGCCCCTGGAAAAATTTTTATCCTCATAACTTTTAAAGAAGCAATGACTGGTTGTTATTCATTTTTGGAGTGGTTTGTTATATATAATAATTGATATACTACATATTATAATTTGCCTTTTCTGAGGCTCCATAACTAATTTATACTTTTTACCATACATTTAGGCAAATCAGGATTAATGAATAAAAGAATATATATATATATATATATATGAATAGCAAACTGGATCAAGGACTGGGGTCTGGTATAACAGTAGCTATTTCTCTCAGGACTCCTCTGAGTCTATCTACATGATCTTCCATGCAAGTTCCACAAATTGGGTAGATGAAATTGGGTGTGGAACCAAATTTTAATTCTACCACAGAAACTCTTCATCTGTGGGAGGGAAGACAAACAACTACTACAACCCAGAGACCATGCTGAAACTTCAGAGCCCTCGTTTCCAAAGCAGCACAATCAACTTGTATTCTAGATAAGGGTACAGGCTGTCATATTCATTTTAAAGTCATGCTAGATTTAAAGAGGACATCTTGTTCCTTTTAATCTTTTTTCTTTGAATTTCTTTTCGAAAGGCTGTGAATATTTCTAGACTTTCCATTTTTTTGCCAGAGAAAATCACTACTAAATAGACATTAATCAAGCCACAGGGTCTAGATATGGACAATTCAGAATGAAAGCCATGAGTTTATATTGCTGTTATACCCTGCCCAAAAGGGTCATAGCAAAATATTGTGCTCTTAAGGGAGTCTCCTGAAATGAAGACTCTTGTACTCCCAAGCTCAAATTCAGATGAGGTGTTAAACCAAGTGCACTGATACATGCCTTCTGGTTACTGTACCAGGGCAGAAATAAAGGCATAAAAGTATGGGTAAGAATTATGGAGGGGGGGATATTGATTAAGATGTATTGTACTTATAAATGCACACACTGAATTTGAACTTTTTTGTATAACTAAAGACAATAAAAAAGACATAAGAGTAAATGCTCAGTAGGTATCATATATCTGGAGAAAATAAGTACATACACACCTGGATCCGTAGAATTCTTCTCCCTGCAATGAATTAAAAGTATTGTTTTAATATGGTTTAAAACCATCCAAAAGGCCAAAACAGACACCTTGAAAGGACACACAATTTGTCTTGTAGCTAAAATGTTCTACTTTGGGGGAGAAGGACGAGTAAGTAAGAAATGTGAATAGTTAGCTCTCTCTCCTCTTTTAAATCACCTATTCCATCTTATCTTCACGTGGTGTGTATTTGCAAGAGGGCTGGAGTTGCTATCCAATGCCTGACAGAGCCTAGGTGGCTTAAATGTCATAAAAAACACATAATAAAATGAATTGGAGTAATTCTTCCTTTTTCTTCTTCACCAAGTGTGGTGAATGAGATTTGGTGCTCCTCAAAGAGTGTATGTCTACTTAACAATATCGTTCTGGGCTGTCTCCCATGATGCAGTCCCCTGACGTTTGGGGTATTGGGGCAATCCCAAGACCTATTTCACTTTGTTGTCCGCCAACTGCATGGGTAATTATAGCTACGTTACCTTAGGACTTGGGTACCCTGGGGTGGCGCAAGGCAGGCTAAGGTCTTTGTCGGCCTGGTGAAGAGACCCCTGATTGATGAGCTGCAGCCCAGGAAGAACATCCTCAGTAGGCCTGGGCTGGAATCTGACTTTGCCAGCTGTGTTATTGATGCTTGCAGGGTCAGAAGGCAATCTTGAGTCAGGTGTCAGGGGTGACAGGGAGGGTGATGAACCCTTTGGACTTCCAGGGAGACTCTTAGAAAGACAGCCTTGGGCCTTCACAGGTCCTCTCCAGCTTCCCCAAGTGGGTAATTCCAGGGCGTTTTGCTGGGGTAGCAAGGATGAAATTCCCCAGCCACTACCCCTCAACCTCCTCAAAGTGGGAGAGGTGGAAATGCGGCCTGGAGCTTGTCGGTCAAACTGGAGCATGTGGCTCTGACTCTCACAGGGTTTCTTTGACGAGTGCCATGGGTTCTGAGGTGATATCCCACAGTCATGGGACTTTGTCTCTGGGCTAGATGATTCCATCTTCTCCAGGAAGCTAAGAGGACTGGTTGCTGGAAGGTTCCAGGAGATATTGTTACTATTCTCTGGATCACAGTGGGGTTGCTCAGTGTCTACATTCAAGAGCCACTCATTCCCTGGTATTTTTTTGTGCTTTTCTAGAGGCGAATGACATGAAGGTTGGTGCATCTTCTGTGAGGAGCAGTCTATGGAGCCTATAGTAAATGAGGAGACTGGGGTGAGAAAACAAGGTGACTTCAAATTCTTCTGTAGAGATAAGTAAAGCCCAGTTCTCATTACCACCCTTTACATTTAGAAGATAATTAACACATGTTAAGTAGTATATTGGCATCTATTACTTAATATCCTTCTAGGGTCAAACAAATAATCTTGTAAAGACTTTGTTGTCTTTTGGAAGTCATATAGCTAATCACCTATTGATTATACCATTTTAAGAGCATCAGATATACATTGAATTTACACTGTTTTTATGTATGTGTATTTTAGACACATTTCTGCATTCCTGGGATGTACAAACAAGAAAAACAAGGGTTTTCTGTCAGAGTTTAAATTATGTAATGAGGCATGCCTTCAGGGTCATTTGATGTGAACTAGGCCTGGTGATGCATGCCTATAGTTGTAGATTAGGAGGAAGCTCATGTACCAAGCCAGTCTAGGCTAACTTGTGAGACCCTATCTCAACTCTTTCCCCCTCAAAACCAACAACCAACCAAATCAAGCAACCAACAAAATGAAAAAGATAATTGATGTAAATTTTTTGGTAAAAAGACAGATTTCATCAATCTTCCTATTTTAGACAAATGACTTATGAGTTTGAAAAGAAAACCCCATATGTCACTAAATACCCACCTAATGATGAGGAGTGTCTTCTAGGATTCACAGGTATAGTTGCCTTTTAGCAAAGCCTTCTCATGCTCAAACAAAGCTGATTCTGACATTTGACAATTGAATCACAGGGACATGGAAATGACTTAGAGCAGCTCTTTTATTCTGTAATTTTCTGTATGAATGAAGAATGTGTGGGAAAATATCAATCTTTACCTATCCCATCAATTACTGCTTAGTGTTGGTGGGGAAGTGGGGGAAACTGTAGAATAGATACCACAGCCATCTGCTCTGCCTTGGGCAATGTGGAAAGTAGTTTCAGACTGTGCAAAGATTGGTTTTCTGTGGCTAAGCATCAGCAGTTGATCACATATTCTAGAATCTCCAGAATACACAATGATTTGGAATTGCTTACAAATGAATATATTTGGAAATGCAAGATCTTAGGATTATAATATTATACTCTTTAATTCCATGTAATTTTATTTGCATAGACAAGACTTTTTGATAGAGATATTTCTTTTGTTCACCAGATGTGATTGTGCCAATTGATTGTATTTGTTTTTATTATCTTTAAATAGTTGTACAAAGGAGTTGCCATTCAACAAAGCAGTTTATGATACATGCATTGTGATCAGTCTTATCCCTTTCAACATTCTCCCCTTTCCCATTTCTCCCAACCCATCACTTCCCTCACTTTTCTTAATTTTGTAAGATATACATTGATTTTTGATTTTGCCAGTCTTGGGGTTTGAATTCTGGTCTGGAGCCCTGTTCCTGAGCTCCTTTTTTGCTAATGCTCTACCACTAGAACCACAGCACAACTTCTAGCTTTTTATATGATTAATTTGAGATAAGGGTCACATGTACCTTCCTACTCCAGCTGGCTTCAAACCATGATCCTCAGATCTCAGCCTCCTGAGTAGCTAGAATAACAGGCGTGACCTACTGGTGCCTGGCTACATTGAGTTTTTGACTGCATCCTTCTCCCCCCACTTTAATCTCTTCATTTGTCTATGCTTCTTGAGCTTTTTCTTTAGTGTGTCATTTGCTTTTTCTATGTGATAATAGCAAACGCTAAAAACATGAGTTGACCTCCTTTTCTTGATTATCACCACAGCACCTGAACTAGAATTAGTACTGTTTGCTGGGGTTCTGTGGACATAAAACAACCAATACAGGCTTTTATTGGCCATGATCTTCAACACTAAATTGTCTAACACTGATGCACTCCTGACTTATTCATTACTTCTTATTTTACTTTAGGTGGTTGGCTAAGTCAGGCACTTTCCACCCTGTAGTTATTTCTTTCTTTCCTTTCTTCCTTCCTCCCTTCCTTTTTCCCTCCCTCCTCTTCCCCCTTTCTTTCATTTTTTTGTTGGTCATGGGGCTTGAATTATGGGCCTGGGCCCTGTCCCTCAGCACTTTGGCTCAAAGCTAGCACTCTACACTTGAGCCACAGTGCTACTTCCAATTTTCTGGTGGTTAATTGGAGGTGAGTCTCAAGGGCTTTCCTGACAGGGCTGGCTTTGAACTGTGATCCTCAGATCTTAGCTTCCTGAGTAGCTGGATTACCACCAGAAGTAGTTTCTTTTAATCTGCTTCAGGCCTAGGAGGTTCTGACATCTTTGCATAAGAAAAGTTAACAGCTCTTCCATCTTCCCTTATCAGTAAAGGGGTAAAGAAACTTGATACTATGTTATTGTCATGACTATATTGTGATATTGATTCTGGGAACTTCACGCTCTCTTAACTTACTCCATGACTCTCCCCTAGTTTAAGGACAAATCAAACTAACAAATACTGGGGAGCCTTTAAGGAGTTGCTTAGATATCAACGAAGGTCAATTAAATTCATATTTATCAAAGCAATCTTACATTGGTATTGTTGGGTTTGCTCTGATGGCCAAGGACTTGAGTGTTCAAGAATTTCACATATTCATCTAGAATGCATTAGAGGGGGTTGGGTGAGGAAGGAGAATAATACCAAGTAAAATGTACATTTAGTGATGGTGGGGCTGAACTGCCTTCAAGATTGGTAATTTCTAGTTGCTGCTCTAGAGACTGATGCCAGCTTCATGGGAAGTGCAGAGAATAAAATGGCTGTTCTGACTATTGACTCAGTCAAGTATAGTAAGTTGCTTAAGGTCCTGAGCTCTGGGCTTGTTTTACAGTAGGGTTAGTTCCTTATTCTCCTAACAAACAAACAGCTGAGCTGAGGACTGGAGTTATAGGTACTTTCACACATGTCCACGCCCAGAAATTTATTTTTCTTTTTCCTTTAGCGGATTATCCAAGATCTAGACAACAAGAATGTAAAAGAAATTCAGTAAGTTTACATAGGCACTTTTGTAATAAGTATATCAGAATCTTTAGACTTTGAATTGGCCTTTTTTCTCCTTTGAGGGATTAGAATATAGCACTGGGGATTCTTTCCAGTCATCTAGTCTTAGGATAGGACAACTGGTGAGCCCAATAGTATTAAAGGTTCATTAAATATTATTTATTGGCTAGTGTCTTAAATTTTAAAAGCACAGCAATGATAACTACACATCAGCCAAAGTAATAGTAATGGCTAGGATGACTCACCAAAGGACTGGAGAAACTGTATGTACAGTTTGGGATGTGGTTTGCAGAGAATCAGGAAATGCTGGAGTAAACGGATCTGGTTTCTCTTCCAGCCTCACTGCCAATAAGCTGTGTGACCTGAGATGGGCCTTTTCTCTTGTCTGCTTCCAGGCAGCATTTATAAGAAGGCATAACAATGCCTCCCAAGCCGATTTCTTGCAGGAATTAGTGAGATAGTGGCTACTGCTTTGGGGAGGTGCCTTTCCTTAATACAACTCTGGCTGGCGGTGATGGAGTCAGAAATTAATAGTAATTCTATTCACCTATCTCTTCTTTACCCTCTTTAAAAGACTCCATCAGTATGTGATCATTATAAAGAAAAGTCACCAGCTTTGACCTCCCAAGTGTTGCTCCAGTAAATACCCACTCATACTGTTGGGGAAGGATCTCTTTGTACCAGTTATAAAACCTCATAGATTAATGATTCACTAATTCTTTTTAAACCTGGAAAGACCAGCTAGGCAGGACCAAACAAAGCTGGTAGCAACAGGAACCAAACAAACATGTAGGAGAGAAACAGAAAGCAATCAAACATTATTAGTACCTGAGGGATGATCGGCCTCTGAATGTGACATTGGCTGGATCCTGCCCATCCACAGCGTCTACTTAGTTACAGAGCCAGTGGCCAGATGAAGTTTTTAGACAGCTGATTACATACCTGCAACCACAGGCCCTCCCCTAGGAGGAGCACAAGCAACTTTGATACAGCTAAAATGAGGAACTGGCCTCTCCTCTTCTTAGAGATGTTTCCAGTTATTTGTTTATGAAAAAATTCTAAAAAGAAGCAAGTTGAGAATCTAAGTCCACCGAAGAAAAAAGCCAGTGTGATTAGCTTTTCCTGAACAATGGCTGTTCCAATGTAGAATTGATGGCAAATGTGGCTTTCTACTTCCTGTTAAGAGGTCCAATAATTTTCACTAATGGTGCAGTGGGCAGGTCTGAGTTTCTAAAGTGATGAATAATTTACTAGAATCTATCACCCCAACTTAAAAATACTTTGTGTTGATCTATATTCTTAATTGGGTGCTTGGATAAACATTAAATATAGAGGAGATGATTATTGTCCTTTGGAACAAATTTGTGTACATTAGTAATTAAAATGTAAATGAAACCAGTCCAAGTGACTCACACCGGTAATACTAGCTACTCAGAAGGTTGAGATCTAAGGATCCAGGGTGAAAGCCAGCCTAGGTAGGAAAGACCTTAAGAATCTTATCTCCAATTAACTACCCAAAAAAGTCAGAAATGCAGCTGTGCCTCAAGTAGTAGCACACTAGACTTGAGCTCAAGGACAGAGCCCAGGCCCTGAGTTCAAGCTCCAGGACTGGTACAAAATTTTTTTTAAAAGGGAAAAGTATTGTATCCTCCATGATCTTGATTAGGTCACCATCCTCTAAGAACATTTATTTGATATCTAGATGGACTGTTTAATACATACATCATTAAAAATATTTCTGTAGTTTCATTCTGAAAACAAATTCAAACTAACCTATTTACTAATCTACTGATGTTATTACCAGTTAGAACTATTACAGATACTTATTAGAAAGTTTCTTATAAATCAGTGATTTTCAAAGTAGCGTTGTTGGGCCAGTAGCCAGCATCATCATTTGGGAACTTTTTGACACCAAAAACCCCTTCCAAAGCCATGAACAGATGATTTATGCCTGTAATCTTAGCCTCCTGAGAAGTGAGAATCACAGTTTAAAACCAGCCCTGGCAGTCCATGAGACGCTTATTTCCAATTAATCATGAAAAAGTTGGAAGTAGAAGTATTTCTAATGTAGTAGTCTTGAGCAAATAAGCCAAGTGAGAGCAAAAGGCTGGCCCCAGTACTGTCACAATAAACAAACAGAAACAACAACAACAACAACAAAACATTCACTTACCATCAAAATCTCTATGATTGGATTCAACGTTTGGGGTTTTAACAAGATGTATGGGTGACTCTTCCAAGGCTTAAAATTTGAGAAACCCTGCCTTAGGAGAAAATATGTCTAATTTAAAGGTCTTGGCTTTTATATTTATCTTTAATTCTGTCATATCAGATTTCTTTGAATAGCATTAACTCAGCACATAGAAAAATGACTAGATCTTCCTGGGCCACCAGGGCCATCGTGACCACTTGTAAACTTAACATAGACTATCAAGGAATATCTATTATGCCACTATAGTACAGGAGACCAAACGATTTGCTCTTCTGCCAAGGCTGACTAAAAATAGATTTTTTTTTCACTTTAGGAAGAAAGAAAAGTGAATAAGTTTTTTGCTTTTGGTTTATGATAGGAAGGTCACTCATCTCCCAGTCTCCTCACGTATACACACATGATTATAAAACTGTCTCTCCTAGAGGATAATGATAATAGAAAACTGGATTCCAACGCAAAAAGTGTCCAACTCTGGTTGTAACTTAAGCAAGAAGATTATGATTCTCTAGAACTTAGGGGAAAGGCAGGGACTGCAAGCCTGTTACGTAGCTTCTGGGATACCGTGTTCCATTTCTTGATCTGAGAGGTGATACCTCAGTTGGTTCTGTTTTTGAGTATACACAGCTACTGGCACAACAATGAGAGCTACATGTTTAGGCTTATGTATGCTTCATCTCAATAAAAACTGCTTTTCAAGCTGAGCTTCTCTGCATGCCTGACCCTCTTTCAAGACTTTTACCAGGATAAAAATTGGAAGACTTCCTGTTACTGCTAGTGGATCTCTACATCTGTGTATCTGCTGAAATGAGAAGGTTGGAAGGGCCGGACTTCCTGATGAAAACCTCTCTTGTTTGGAATCTCAATATCACAGCTGTGAATTTGAGTTTTAGTAGATACTTGTATATAGCTTCCTTGTACCCATGACCCACTGCTCTTTCCAAAGACTTTAGATTTCTTTTCTATATTTCCCTAATGCTTATTTCATGGCCAGCTTGAGGGGTAGAATCCTTGGCTCTAGCGAAGCCAAATATGCATTTCAATCCCAGGAGCTACAGGAAGGAGTGGCTTAGAATTAGCATGTAAATTAAGTCAGTCATTGAGCCCACCCAACTCAGTGATTTTTATAGAGAATACTGGAACAAGGACTCTCTTTCCTGCTGGAGGTAGACCGAGGAATGGGAACAATTGACAAACAGAGGACCTTCTAGGTTCCACCTCTTACCAAGTTGAGGAAAGTGGAGATAGAAAAAACAAAATAGAAATGGACTTCAGTGATAGTACCAAGGGACTGAGTCAGTTCTCCTCAAACTCCAGTTATACTGAGTCATACTTTTTTTTTCTCTTGCATCTAAATACATCCTCATTGATCTAAAGGCAGTCTGTTGATGATTGATATAAAGGGAGTCTGTTCATGTTTGTTCCTGCCATCCTGAAACATTCCCACCAGAAAGAGGACAGCCTTCAGGATATTCCTTTGCATTGACTTCTTCTGGTTTCTGGATGTCAGCTGGCAGCCTGGCATCTTTTTTTTTTTTTTTTTGAGACAGGGTCATTCTATGTAGTACAGGATGATTAAAACTTATGATTCTACTACCGTAGCCTCCCAAATGCTGGGATTGTAAATCTGCTGGCATTGCATCTCCCCCTCCCCCACCCACCCACACCCTTAGACTTTTGGCACCTAGTTTTCAGTGGTTATTCAGATATTTTCCAATGTCGATTTTTTAAATGTCAATCTTTTGATGGTTACTGTATTAGTTTTCTATAGCTATTATAACAATTTGCCATAAATTTAGTGGCTCCAAACAGAATGTATTTGTTTCCTTGCAATTTCTAGGTGCTCAGGAGTCTAGACATGGTTTATTTGAATTCTTTCCTGTCTTACAAGGCCATCACGTATCATCTTTGATACATTATTTTCTGGAGCTCAGGGTCCTCTTCTCATCTGTGGTTGCTACAATTCAGCTTCTTGAGGTTGTAGGACTCTGGCTTCCACAGGTGGAGTTCCCGCCTTCAGTTCTCTGCCATTTAGTCATCCCCATGGGCACATATCACAGCTTGTCTTCAAAGCTAAGAGGACAGTCTGTCCCCCTAGTAAGATGGGGTTTTCTGGATACATTGTAATGTGACTATAGGAGTGACATCTCAGTACCTTTGTCATATTTTATTGGTTAGAGTCAATCATAGTCCTACCCACATTTAACAGATGTTGGCTACACAAAATGTAACAGTTGGGGCTGGGAAGGTGGCTCAGTGGTAGAGCGCTTGCCTTGCATGCCTGAGGCCCTGCATGATTCCTCAGCACCACATAAGCAAAAAGAAAAAAATCCGGAAGTGGTGCTGTGGCTCAAGTGGTAGAGCGCTAGCCTTGAGCTGAAGAGCTGAGGGACAGCGCCCAGGCCCAGAGTTCAGGCCCCATGACCGGACCCCCCCCAAAAAAGAAAAAATAAAATGTAACAGTTAAGCTGTATCTGTTACATTTAAACACTGTTTTTTTTTTTAAAATTGGTATGTGGCTAGGCTATATGTCCCTCATGTCTAGCACCATATATTTCTTTTACTCTATTTTTGGCATATATTTAAAGCCTGACCACTGAAGGATAGAAGTCAGTATGGAAAAATAGAAGTTAATCAAGTATTGGCACTTCGTAGAGACCTAGGAAGCAGCCACAGCTAGGTTTTCCTGATCTCTAGGACTGCCCTTGCCTCTGTTTTAGCCCACCTGTGTTTGTGAATACCGGACAGAGACGGGCTTATTTCTTCAATTTAATCTGAGTTTAGACTGGCTTGAATCTTACTTTGACAGGGACTCACAATAGTACTTTAGATCCTATGTGAATGAACTTGTTCTGTTGATGAAACCAGCAATCAATTGTTCTATCTTGGAAAATGTGGAGATGAGAATTCACCATGAAATTCATTTAGAGTTCTAATTTCAACAGTATACCGCGCCTAGCTTCACTCTACCAACTTTTAGGTCTGACAGTTTTTAAATGACTGAATTTGCCTCCCTTGTCAGAATTGTCACTGTGAACAAGTTAATGACTGCAATAACAATACTGGAAATGAATTTTAAAAGCCTGATAAGGGAAAATAAGCCTGTGAATTTTAGTTTTAGTTTTTTTTTTAAGGTAGGAAGGATAGAACAGACAATTGGGCTTGAAAATTATCCTGTTTCGTTTTTTTTTCTTTCTGTGTATGTGTGATTTTAAACCCATTGTAAGACTTTATCTATCTCCCTATGATCTCTGTCCCTAAGTCATAATTCTGGAATAATTATGTCAAAATTATCTCCACAGTAACCAATTCTAATGTTTTAAACAGGGAATTAAGGCTTCAGGTAGTGAATAAGCAGAAACAGCAGGGTCCTAGGGAATTGGGAGGAAAGTGTTCCTGGGGACAGCAAAGCAAGAAAGAGAGAAGAAAACAACCATGATCTGTTATATAATGCAAGGCTCATTTCTAAAGGAAGGAACATCAATTCAATTTAAGTGACATTTATGAAACTTTCTCAAGCAAAGGGACTCTGTTAGAAGAGACTTAGATTGTCTGATTCTACATGGTTACACATTTTTTCCAAAGACAATATAAATTGTTTCTGATACAATGTATAATTACTGAATATAGATAGGCATCTTTAAACATTTATGACCAAGAAGTCCTTTGCTTGATTTTATTTGTTGTTTTCTTTGTAGGCAAGATGGGATGGTAGGTTGCTGTCTACAGAATTATAATGAGCAGAAATTGATTTATGTCATGCTTCCATGCATGGTAAGGATACTTACTTGGGCATGGCAGTGAGTAAGGCTGATTATATTAACACTAGGTAATGAGATAATAGTTTATAATTTAGTGATCTTGT